GCACTGCACTACGAACCAATCTGCATCTTCCGCAGCACAAGTTCGATCCCCAGCCGGCCAGGAAGCAACCCACATGGTGCAGCAGACCTCTCCTGTCTCTCCCGCTGCTCCCCTCAGCAGTGTGCTTTAGTCAACCTGCCTGTTCTGTTCCCCACTCTGTCTCTGGTAAATCCTCTCACCCCCTGCATCTCTGGCCTGTACCCCAGCTCTTGTATGCATAAATAAAAAAAAAAAAAAAAAAAAACAACAACAACATTGTCTTGTCAACTCTTTCATGGGATACAAATTACCCCCTTACTCAACATAGAGAAATTACAAATCCATGCTTATTTGTTTCAGATACAAACTCTAACTGGTTCCAAAAAGTATTTGAGATAGTTTTCAATAAAAATTACATCAGCAGTCAAGAATATTCAATGGTTACTCAAATGACACAGAAACATTAATTCCAAAGGGCACCTGCATCCCTATGTTTATAGCAGCACTGTTTACAATAGCTAAGGTTTGGAAACAACCCAAATGCCCAAAATAGATGACTGGATCAAGAAGATGTGGTACATATACACGATGGAATATTACTCAGCAATCAAAAAAGATAAACACATGCAGTTTGCAGCAACATGGATGGAGCTAGAAGGGATCATGCTCAGCAAAATAAGTCAGAAAGAAAAAGAAAATACCGGATGATCTCTCATAGCAGGAATCTGGAAAACCTAAATAAGGGACCAGGAAAAAGACTAATTATAATAAAGTAAAAATCAAAATCAACAAGCAACTATAAACCAGAGACACACAGGGATGGGAGGGGGGATGGACTAGGGTCAAAATAAGGGGGGGTGCAATTGTATGGGGAATATAACCAAAATGAAAATGCATACATTGTGCAAAAATGAAAATGTTGTAAGAATTATATAAAATAAAATATTAAAAAATAAATTAAAAAAGAATATTCAATGGGAGTTGAAATTGTATAATCAAACCATTTTTTCCCTTTTTCTCATTAATTAAAAATAAGCTTGAATCAGAGATAATTTATGGTTTTGAATTATTGCAACACCAATTAATACTTTGCTAAAATACATCCACATGGTATCAGGATCAAAATGCTTCAAGTGGTGAAATTATTTATTTTAGTATCATTAACCAATGCATTGTGAAATTTTGTTGAAACAGGGAAGGCTCCCTTTTCCATGTGGCCACTCTGTCCATTACTCACCACTGACCTGCGTCACACCTGCCCCTTCATCACAGAGCCAGCTGCCCTGATGTTCCTTGATTATGCAACCCAAGTGCAACAAACAACTACCTGAGCAAAGGGTTCAGTGCATTGATTTGTCTGCTATTGTGAACCCAGGGCTGAAATACTATGGGGTCGATTTAACCACATGGAGAACAATGATGAACTATTGTAACATTCTCAGGATCCCAGAGGAGTCCTGTGCAATTATCACAGGACAAAGTTTGCAAAGATACTTCCATAATTTAGTGCCAACCAGGTGATTTTCCAAACAGTTCTCTGAGCTTCTGGAAGATGCTAAGCTTTTAGACATCTGTATATTTGTTTCTTTATTCCTAAAACAAAGATAGCAGAAAGAGTCAATGCTACGAGGGATTTTAAGGTGCTAAGGCAATTTTATAAAATATTATGGGGGGAGATCTATCTAGGAGAAACTTCTGGTTCCTGCAAGCCTCTTGTTTTTAAGAAGATGGCTTCAGGGACATATTGGTGTATATCTTGTGGCTTAAAACATGAACTTTAGGCTAAGAAAAACTCTCAGCTCTTAGTACCTGGATAACTAATATTGGGCAAGTGACTTGATCTCTCCATTTCTTCACCACTATCATTCATGCCCACCAGGGTGCTAAACACCAGGATACAACAAGTAAGACAGCAAGAGGAAAAACAGATGAGAGCTTGTGGGGGAAAAAAGATAATTTTTTAGATTAGGGGTTAAGATTTTCTGTGGAGATATTCTGATGGCTTCTTAGTCTACAGAATAAATTGAGACTGAGGATTGTTAAGGAGAGGCAAGGAGAGAAGAAATGTAGATGACTTGGAAAGAGAGATGAGAGCTTGGACCAGCCCTTGTGAGGGCAGAAGAGGAAGCAGAGGAAGACTTGAGATGGGGCCAGGAAGGCTGCAACCCTTATATGGAGTAGTAGCTACCCACATGGTGGATTGTTCCAGCAGATTCAGGGAGCAGCAGGTAAAGGAAGCCAAGACGTAGACACCCGATGGGTGGGGTTTAAAAAAGTTGAATGACTCACTAAAAGGACACAAAGATTTTTTTACAAGCATCCTGGCTCCAGTTCCAGTGTTCTTTCTTTTTTTCTTTTTTTTTTTTTTTTATAGAGGCATGTTTATTTATTTATTTGTTTGTTTGTTCGTTTGTTTCGTTTATACATGCACTGGGTACAGTCAGAAGCGCGGGAGGGTGAGAGAATCACCAGAGCCAGAGCTGGGAGCAGAGCAGGCAGAAGGACCGAAGTACACTGCTGAGGGGAGCAGCGGGCGGCAGGGGAGGTCTGCGCGCCATGTGGGATCCTCCTCCGGTGGCCGGGGAGCAGCCGGGATCGAACCGGCGTCGCAGAGGCTGCGGGCAGCTTCGCAACCCAGCGCTCAACCGCTGCGCCACCGGGGAGGCCCTCCAGTGTTCTTTCTAATCTATAACAGGGGAGGTGGGTCTGACCTTAATCAGGTTCCTTAGTACCTCATTTTTCTAGTTTGCAAAAGCCACTAGATCAGGTGATAATGAAAGTCTCCCTGTTCCCGCCTCTAGGATCTTGTAGCTGCAGGTTCTGCAGGATCTGCTTCCACTAGTTCTGAGGTGTCACCTTGGGGGGGGTCACTCAAACTCCCTGCCTTGTTTCTGTAATTTGATTATGTTCCAGAAGCTTGAGTGCCAAAGTGATGATTCTGAGAAAAGATAGTCTTGTTCTGTTGTGACATGTGCCCCTTGTATCAGGAGCTCCGACACCTTCATAGCACCTGCTATAGCATGAAGGTCTATTCGTGTGCATTCATATTCTACTCCAACAGGAGTGACGTGAAGTAGTTAAATCAATTGTCCCATGGCAAAAATCACTTATATTTCACAGCAATAGTACGTCCAAACCGAATAGACAGCTGTGAGAGAAAATGACCCCCTGCTTTAAGGAAGAAACCTACTGTTGATAACGAAAATAAGGATCCTCGCTGGTGGCGCAAGGGGTTAAGTCTCAGCACTATAATGCCATTGGCCACTGCAGCACAAGTTCCATCCCAGGCCAGGGAGGTGACCCACATGGCCAGCAGACCTCTGCTGTCTTGCCCGCTGCTCCCCTCAGCAGTGTAGTTCAGTCACTCTGCCTATTCTGTTCCCCACTCTGTCTCTGGTGAATCTTCTCATGCTCCCGCACCTCTGGCCTACATCCCAGTTCTTATATGCATAAATAAACAAATCTTTAAAAAAAGAAAATGAAAATAACTAACGCAAAGATTGAACCAAAACAATCCAAAGGCTGTTGACTGGGTATCCCACTGAGTAGCTGTCAGTAGTACATGGAGACCCTTTTAATTGAGTAGATGTCAGCGGTTGTCCTTGGGGCACTAAAGAAAATAACTTTACTCTGGCTCTTTAAGGGATTCCTTGAATAGGCTTTTAAATAAAATACCAGAGTGCCACAAAAATAGCCTATAACTCATTAGGAACTAACGGATTAGAGTAGTCTAAGTATCACAGTTTTCAGGGCCTCCTTGGTGGCGCAGGCAGTTGAGCGCCGCACTGTGAAGCTGTCTGCAGCCTCTGCAGCCCGCCAGCCTTGGAGCAACCCACACGGCGCAGCAGACCTCGCCTGTCTTGCCCGCTGCTCCCCTCAGCAGTGTATTTCACTAGATCTGCCTGTTCTGTTACCCGCTCACTCTCTCTGGTGAATCCTCTCACCCTCTGTCGTATCTGGCCTGTACCCCAGTTCTTGTATAAATAAATAAATCTTAAAAAAAAAAAAATCACAGCTTTCATTGGTGGCTGAACGTTCCCCAGAGACAGTGGGGATAGATTTCCTTGGAGGAGGCGAATTGGGAAATTGTTTTTTCTGTTTTGCTTTCGTCGGCGTTAAGCGCTTTAATTTTTCCTTGCAGTCCGCCAGTACTTTCATCCTCAATTATAATTTCAAACGAAGGCCTGAGCCCCAAGTCCAACAAGGGGAACCCTCCTGCAGACTTCACAGAGTCCCTAACTCCTGACATCTCTAGCTCCAGCCCCCACGCGGAGGATAATCACGCAGGCCTCGGGGAGCCCAAGAGCAGGACAGCCACTCGGAGGCCTGGGCCCGTGCGCCCCCGCGCCCCCGGCGCCCCCGGCTCTCCCCGCGCCCCCGGCTTCCCCCGCGCCCGGCGTCCCGCGGCCCCGCCGGCCCCGCGCGCCGCCGCCCCGCGCCGACTTCCGCTTCCCCGGCGCCCGCCGCGCGGAGCCAGCCCCGGCCGCAGGGGCGCTCACGAGCCCGCCGGCCGCCCGCGAGGGCACTCCCGCGCGGGAGGCGGGGCGGAGGGCGGCCCGAGCCCGCCGCGGGTGTTAAGCGGCCTGCCCCACCGCGCCGAGAGCCTGGAGCTGGCGGGCGGCGGAGCCGGAGCAGGACGCGGCCGCGCGCGTGGCGGTGAGCGCAGCCGCGGCCCGGCGATCGCGGGCTGCCGGGGCGCGCGGGGAGGGCGGAGCGGGCAGCGGCCTCGGCGCCCGGGCGGCGTGACCTTCCAGAACGGCCCGGCCGGGGCGGGGGGCCGCGCGGTCCGCGCACGTGCGGAGGCGTCACGGGCGCTCCTCTCCCGGGCGCTGCCCCGGCGCGCGCAGGACGCTCGGCCTCCGCGGCCTCCCTCCCGCAGCGGTCACCTGCTGGAAGGTGTTCCCTTCCTGTGCCCCTGCGTAGTGCCCACTGGCCTGCGGGCGCCGCCGGTGCCCGTGCGCCGGGGAGGGCGAGGCGCTTCTGAATGGAGACTCCTGCAGGTTGCTGGGGCACGCTCGGCCGGCGTTGCCAGCCGGGAGGAGAAAGTTGGAGACGGTCGCCGTGAGCTGTGTCTGGTGCGCACCAGCATCCCGAGGCCCCGGAGGCGGAGCGCTCAGCCAGCTGCTCAGCGGCAGGAGGGGCTGGTTTGCATCCAGTGTCCTTACGTCCCGGCTCTGGTAACTTCTGCACCGCCAGCCTTAGCCTGAAGCGGAAATCTTCCGGTTGCTTCGTCTGTGTTATCTTGGTGGAGAGAGCGACTCACAGGAGTCTCCCTTACGAGAAAGATGTATAGTTGGCGCTGCTTGTCCCATGTCAGTTTTAACTCCTGCTGATGAGTCTCACCTCCCGCAAGCCCTACGTCCTCTTCAAGCCAACGCTTCGTATAGTTTGAATTAGTTGCCCACACCGGATTTCATCTTAATGATGCAGAAGTAGTTTTTTGTAGGATATGATGTGTTTAAGCTGGGCTTACCTAAAGGGGTTAAATTCACATGGATGACACGATACTCTCTGCCCTACTTTTTTTTTCTTCTAAGGAGATGTCCACACCAGGAGAAACTAGAGCACAGAAAGGTCACATTGGAAAGTGCCCTGTGTGACTCCTGTCCTTGTGTGTGTGTCAACGTTTCCCCTCTAAAATGCAAGGCTGGGTGTTTTTTTTTTCCCATCATGTTGGATGGAATACTCTGGAGTTATTGGTGGGAGGCACAGAACCCAAGACAAGGCTTGAATTGAATCCTTTCTTTGCTACTGACTAACTCTCTGACCTTCTTTCCATCAGGAGAAGGAGATTGAATTATGACCCCAATGTCTTTCTCTCTGATACTGGGTGGCCACCACCTTATCAACTGTAGTAACCAATGTACCTCTCCAGTCCTATCAGTAACCTAAAATCAGGGCCTAAGTTAGTTGTTTTATTAAGCATTATGCTTCTGTTATCGCTGGTCTTAAAAAGATTTTAAATCTTTTTGTAAACAGAGGAAGATTCTTGGTGTCTGATCATTGACAGAAGGCTTGCAGTGGTTAAAAAACTTCCTGGAGGCGAAAATCATTTTCTACTGATCTGTAAGGTGACATTAGCTTTCATCTGTGATCCTGGGGGCCAGCCCCTCCTCTGAGAGGTGGCATGACTGGGATCACACAGATCTGCAGCGTGATGAGGGATAAAAATTGTTCCTTGTTACAGCCAAGTCATGCAGTTTGAAAACCATAAAGAATTGATTGCTGAGTTGGTTATTTTAGTCTTTTCTGTTAACAAGTCACTTTTTCTTTCTCTAGTCAGTATTATTGCCTCAGCAATAGTTAATTTTTGTCTAAACACTGAGGAGTAGACACTAGTTTTCCCAAACTTATTAGGCCCCAGCCTAAACAGATTGAGTCAAGATTTCAAAGCAAGAGACAGACATCTGGTTGTTTGAATATTGAAGAAGTGCCCCATGTGATTCTCACGAAGCAGATTTGGGACGCAGTGCACCAGGTGTTACTTCTCAGCGCATGCTTGGTGATCTCGTTGGAGGCCTTATCTGGGAGCAGGTCCAGAAAAGCAGTATCTTTAATCCCACCTGAACCCTTTCTATCAGAACCTGCATTTTAACAAGGTTCTCAGGTGATGCGTGTGCACATTTATGACTGAGAAGCCGTGGCGGGGACCGCGGAGACAGCAATGTTTGGAGCTGTGCTGTGTAGTTATTCTGAGACCATGTTTCCTAGTTCATCATCACATCAGTTCTATCAGGCCATCTGTAATTGCCTTTGTATTATAACACTCTTAGGATTCACCTTGTACACCTTGTTCAGTGACCCCCAACCTTAGGTGCCCCAGGAGCCGCCTTGGCAGCAGAGTAGCATTCAGAAGTAGGCCTGGGTCACCGCCAGAGTGCCTAATCTGTGTGTTCCTTTCTGGGCCTATTGTTTTGTGACCTCCTTTTAGGAACTCAGCAAAGGCTGCTCTCTGAATTTAGAACTGAACTTAATGGACTGATAGTGCAGTGTAGACTTCCGAAAAACTAGTTGGAAGTGGCTAGGGATGTTTGCAGTTGCCTCACTTATTTGGCAGTCTTTCCTAAGGTTTTCAAAAAGGTCGCCTGAAATGCCTCCTCCCACTCCCTCCACCAATGGCTGTAGCATTAATGTTGAAGGAAGGTTTTTGTTCTGCGAGCTCTTTATGGGGGAGGAGGTGGGCAGGGAGGAGAGGCGTATTGCTCACTAAGCTGCGTGGACACTGGGCCCTTCCTCTGGAGCAACACAGAGCCAATTTCTCACTTCCAGAAGTGTAGGTACAGTAACTAGGCTGCAGCCTTCAGAAAGGGAGGCTGCAAGGGTCAAGCTGATGGTCAATTCTTGCCTCCTTCCGCCCAGGGATATGAGGTGCCCATCATAAGCTCCAGAGAGTCGCCTTCCCCGGAGCCCAGCAGAGAAGTGGGGGAAACATGAAGTCCAACCCTGCCATCCAAGCTGCCATCGACCTCACTGCAGGGGCCGCAGGTAATCCCCAAGAAAACCCCGTCCTCTCCTCCTCACCTGCCTTCTACAAGGAAGGTTAAGTGAAAGAGGGTTAAAATATTACCTTTGACATCCCACATATGCTTTAACCTTGGAACACATTTCATCAAAGTGTAATGAGTTCCAAGCACGGCAGAGTAGTCCCCATTTTTTTAAGACATAATGAGTCAGTGCACAATGTGGAAATGTCCCCTGTCTATAGCTGGAAATCTCAGCTTGAGCTGCAGTCACTTGTCACATGGCTGAGATGTGCAGGTGATGTGGGTGCCATTCCAAGCCTGGCAGGCTTCAGACCCCTTAGAGTGCAGAAATACAACACTGTCTCTGCAGGGAGATCTTAGTTACTGCCTGGGAAAGAAAAAAAAAGACATTCCTTGGAAATGCCTTTAGTCATGTGACACACATTGGACTGTCTTCAAGCCCTGCAAGGAAAGGCGAGCTCTTAGGACTTGCCAGGATGTGCAGGCTCACCTGAGTCGAGGGGGTCAATTCCAGGGAAGACTGAGGCCCCACTCAGCACAAGTAGGTGCTCCCGGCAGTGCTTATAACATGCAGACTGCTTTTAAGACAGATCTCCTGTCCGTGGTCTGAATAAGAAGTGCATGGTGGAAGTGTCTAGATACCTGTATTTAAGGGCATGCGGAGTGCTGGAATGCTCATTTTTTCCAGAAGAAAACCCTCTTCTACTTTCCTACATGGACTTTTAAATCACTGCAGCTCCCTGGAGGGGAGAGGCCAAAGGGTGGGCCGCCCACTGTCCTGTTATCCACTGGAATCTCCTGGTCAACACATTAAATACAGTCAGAGGGCCACCTCCTGTCATCCTGCCCTTCTCTTAATTGTGAAAAAAGAAGTCATAGATAGAGAACAAAGTATTTTTCCTTGAGCCAAAGGTCGGCCACAGTCAGCTAATGAGGGCTCCTAGCTGCTGTACTTTACAGCCCCGCCTGATAAGCCCTGAGGAGGCGGGCCCTGGCTCCTGGATTAGAGACCACAGGAGTGTCCTGCCCAGGAGTCAGGGAAACCAAGGGCCCCCTGGCTTCCTCCCTGGTGCCTCTTGCCGGCTGGGTGCCTTTGGGTCAGCCCCTTGCCCTGCTGTGGACTCGTGCTGTACCCCCAGGCCTACTGCACTGTCGCCCTCATGCACTCTGGAAACACTGACACAGCTCCAGCAGAGCCATTTGTGGGCTCTGGCATCCTCTTGCTGCCTGTGAACATTCTGGGCTCAGTTTTTGTGCCTGCAGTGGGAGAACATTGAACCACATGAGGGCCCCTCGGCCTTCGGAATTGTATATCCTTCAGCCAGTCTATGGAAGATGTAGGATCTATTGTGATAGAATTAGAATCATTCCCTTTCCCTAAAAAGGCCCTTATGTGTGGGCGGGTATTTGGGCACCATATATATAATGTACAGTGAATTTTAAAGCTACAAATTGCAATAGTCTTGCGGGAAATCTGGTGTGTGAGGCATTTGCTGGTGCTGTCTTGCCACATTAACATGTGCTGGGCCCTTGTCATTTCCCTGGTAACCCTCTGGGAAACAGCTGGCAGGTGTTTTGTTCCTATGGGGATAACAAGGGGTCACCTTCCACTGATGTAGCACTGCTGTGGGCCATCTCTCTCTGAAGACCACGGACTCCTTTGCAGGAGTGGCCTGAGCCTGGTGAAGGGCTCCTTGGGGACTGGACAGAGGAGGTTCCTGTTAGTGACCCAAGAACTCCCTCTGTTGGGAGGCACATGGAACACAAGCCAAGCTTTGGAGGGGTCTCAGTCTTCAAATGATGGTACTAGTAGGGCCTTAGAGAGCGCTGGTCTGATGCTCATTGTATACACAGAAAAGAGACTGGAGAGAGACAGTGGACTTTCAAGTTACACAGCGAGTTGGTGTAAAGACAGGGCTGGGTTGCTTGGCTCCTGTCTAGTTCTGTAGTTGTCTTGTTTTATTACTACAAAATCCCTAGGGGTGAGGCTGGGTTTGGAGCCCTCACCACCTAGCTCTCTGCAAAGGGAAATGGTTACAGTAGAGGATTTTTCACTAGGAGCAGAGGACCCCTACCCTGAGTGTGATTAGTGTGTACTGGAGCGAGCCATGGTCAGAGGAGCATGGATGGAGCACATGTGTGTTCTTCTGTCCCCCCTTTCTTTTGAAGTAGCTCCTCCAGCAAACAGGCTTCAGAAGGCTCCTCTGCAATCAGTGCTGCGGAGTGGTCACTGTCTCTCAGCACTGATGTAGGGGAGATTCCAGGAAGGGAGGGAACACCCCAGGCTGCAGGGTTGAAGGTGGACTATGAAGCCACATGATTCTCTTGATTCTCAAACATTCTCAAAAGTTCAACTGGGGCCTCCCCGGTGACGCAGCAGCTGAGCGCTGGGTTGCGAAGCTGCCCACAACTCTGCAGCACCGGTTCGATCCCCAGCCGTGGGGTGAGGGTCCCACATGGCGCAGACCTCTCCTGCCGCCCGCTGCTCCCCTCAGCAGTGTACCTCGGTCCTTCTGCCTGCTCTGCTCCCCGCTCTGGCTCTGGTGAATTCTCTCACCCTCCCGCGCTTCTGACTGTACCCAGTGCTTGTATAAATAAATAAATAAATCTTTAAAAAAAAAAAGTTCAACTGTACTTTAAGATGTAGTAACTCAGGGGGCCTCCCTCGTGGGGCAGGGGTTAAAGTCTCAGTGCTATCAAGCTATCGCCAGCTATCGCCAGCTACTGCGGCATGAGTTCGATCCCCAGCCAGGGAGCTGCTCCCCTCAGCAGTGTATTCTGGTAGAGCTGCCTGTTCTGCTCCTCACTCTGTCTCTGGTGAATCCTCTCACCCCCCACACCTCTGGCCTACACCCTAGTTCTATGCATAAATAAAAATAAATCGGGCCTCCCTGGTGGCACAGTGGTTGAGTGCTGGGCTGCGAAGCTGCCCGCAGCCTCTGCAGCGCCAGTTCGATCCCCGGCCACAGGGCGAGGGTCCCACATGGCGTGCAGACCTCTCCTGCCGCCCACTGCTCCCCTCAGCAGTGTACTTCATCACTCTGCCTGTTCTACTCATCACTCTCTGGCTCTGGTGAATTCTCTCACCCTCCCACGCCTCTGACTGTACCCAGTGTTTGTATAAATAAATAAATAAATCTTTAAAAAAATAAAAATAAAAATAAATCTTAAAAAAAAGAAATGTAGTAACTCAACTATGAAATGAAGTACTCCTTAGTTTTATTGCTCCGTTGCAGTATACTTAGCTTAACTAGTGTGGGAGTTTAGATCATTGAAATTTATTCTCTCACACGCCAGGATCAAAAACGAACAGAAAGCATTTTTTAGTTGGAATACTTGAAAATTGATGTGCCTCTCCCAGCTGTTAAGTGAACAGTGACCACCTCCATAGGGCTTGGAGAGTCTTACCTCTGTGGGTGGGCCAGGGTGGACCCCAGCCTACTGGGTAAACCCACCCTTCCTTGTGAGTTCTGCCTTTCCAGCCTACACCATCCCTGCCCCACAGGCTTCCTCCATTCCTTGTCATTGGCTTGGTTAAGCACTGAAAATCCACAGCACACTTGGTCAAGTGCAGGGTGCAACATGGTCTGAATGTTCTTGTGCTGAATAACACACAGCCAAGGGAGCACCCCTCAGAGGGATGTGGAGGAGGCTTCATTTGTCTCTTCCAGAGACCTCAGACCAGAGACCTGAGATTGAAGTGAGCAGAGTATTTAATCCACAGTTTCCTGGCTTTGATGGGGCCTGAGGACCTGCTGGCTGAGCCCCACAGTCAGCGCCACGGGAAGGCCACAGAGAGTATGTGGTAAATTACATGGGAAATTAGTTCCCCTCCATGGACTAAAGGGGAATAGTAGCTAGCACTTGAAAATTAGTTTCCTATCTTCTCGCTATTGGACATGTAACTGTTACAAATATGCTTATTATAACCTATGAAGCCTGAACTGCTCAGGGTGAGTGATTTGGTTAAACTTTGGAAACAGTTGAAATAACAATGCTCTGAATTAAATGCTTTATTGGGTCCATCTGTATCTAGGTTAACTAAATTATGTACCACCTATAAAAATTCTACCATCACCTGTTTTGGAATAATCAATTTTTTAATAACTAGGATATTACTTTATTCTAGTCCATCAGTACCAGGGAGAGTGAGTGTAACTCTTAATTATAGAAACATCTTATTAAATGATATCCCAATCATTCAGAATCAGGTCTCATTTGGCCAGCAAAGCAGAGATGAGTCATGACTCTTCAGGAAAAATGGACAGTAGTGATAGGATCCCAGAGATTGTACCTGTGGTTGCTTAAAAGAAGACACCAAACAGTTTTTGGTAATGTCTCTTTAATGCATGAAAGAGCTGGGGTACAGGCCAGAGATGTGGGGGGTGGGGGTGTGTGAGAGGATCCACCAGAGACAGAGTGGGGAACAGAACAGGCAGACTGACTGAAATACACTGCTAAGGGGAGCAGCGGGCAAGACAGGAGAGGTCTGCCTTGCCATGTGGGTTTCTCCCTGGCCAGCCGGGGATCAAACTTGTGCTGCAGAGGCTGCAGATTGCTTCATAGTGTGGTGCTTAGCCCCTTGCACCACCAGGGAGGCCCTATGTGCCCATAATTAAATGACAATTTTTTTTTTAAAGATTTATTTATTTATTTATTCATACAAACACTGGGTACAGTCAGAAGCGCAGGAGGGTGAGAGAATTCACCAGAGAGAGTGGGGAGCAGAGCAGGCAGAAGGACCGAAGTACACTGCTGAGGGGAGCAGCGGGCGGCAGGAGAGGTCTGCGCGCCATGTGGGACCCTCCTCTGGTGGCCGGGGAGCAGCCGGGGATCGAACTGGCGCCGCAGAGGCCGCGGGCAGCTTTGCAACCCAGAGCTCAACCGCTGCGACACCAGGGAGGCCCTAAATGAGAATTTTTATCAGCCCTTCTCTACTTTCTACAACTTAGTTGGAGTAACTCTGTATATTAGGGTCTAATGTCAGCTTTGGAATTGCATTTCTTAAGTATTTTTTTTAAAGATTATTTATTTATACAAGAGCTAGGGTACAGGTCAGAAGCGCAGGAGGGTGAGAGAATTCACCAGAGCCAGAGCGGGGAGCAGAACAGGCAGACGGACCGAAGACACTGCTGAGGGGAGTAGCGGGTGAGGCAGGAGAGGTCTGTGCACCATGTGGGGTTCTCCCTGGCCCGTGGGAAATCAAACTGGCGCTGCAGAGGCTGCAGACAGCTTCGCAGCGCGGCACTCAACCGCTGTGCCACCGGGGAGGCCCTTAAGTATTGTTTTGATGAGGCTTTAATAACTTCATTCAATGTGTGTTTCCTGAACAGGCAGGAGACAGTCGTCTCAGGCCTATGGGAAGCATTCACTAGGGGCAGTTTCAGCCCAGGGCTTGGGATGGTACAGGATGGTTCTAGCTCAGCCTTTTCTCTGGATCTGGAATGTTTATTGAAGTATTCTCATGTAATTTAAATTTTGCTGTATTGAATACTCACTCCTACTACAGTATAATAGCATATAAATACAGGGTTTATGCTAAGCAAAGGTAAGTTTCAGTCTGTTCCCTACTTGAATGCAACTCATTTATCGATAGGGTCCAGATGAGAGGTTTTTCCATAGGGTCAGATATTAACTCTTCAGGGACTAATTAGCCCGGCTCTGTTTTCTCTTTCTGTTGCCTGTTCCTGTATTAGTTCTCTGACTGTCACCAGCACCACTGGGCATCAGGCAGGGAGGGCTGAAGCACTCTTCTAGAACCCTCTCCTCACTTTCGTGTGGCTTCTAACATGTACAATCACTGCTGTTACTGACCACTTATGCAGCAGGCACTATGTTAAACCTTCTTATCCATTTTTGCTTAGTCCTCATGCTAACCCGCTGAGCTGGGCATGGAAGAGGAACTGAGGTTTAGAAGTTGCATCACTTCTCCACAGTGTCACAGAAGCGCCAGGCTCCACGCCTGGGTCCCTTGGGCTCCATTGCTAATCCTCCACACACATTTGCATCCTGTGGCTCTGATTGTTGAACACAGATCTGTCTCCCTAAAACATCTTCAGGAAGGACTGGGTGCTGGGCACATTTGGGGGACCCTACCAGTTGTTCAGACTTGGCTGGAAGACTTGGGGGGATACAGTCAAAATGAACTGCCGCGGAGGGAGGCTTGGGTGAGTGGCCCCTTCCTCATGTTCATGGCTGACCACAGCTGCACTCAGACACAGCTGCAGGCTGAGCTGGACCACACTCCTTCCTGCTTGCAGGGGGCACAGCATGCGTGCTGACCGGGCAGCCCTTCGACACGATGAAAGTGAAGATGCAGACATTCCCCGATCTGTACCGTGGGCTCACTGACTGCTGCCTGAAGACCTACTCCCAGGTGGGCTTCCGAGGCTTCTACAAGGGTACCAGCCCGGCGCTGATCGCCAATATTGCCGAGAACTCTGTCCTCTTCATGTGCTACGGCTTCTGCCAGCAGGTGGTGCGGAAAGTGGTTGGATTGGACAAGCAGGCCAAACTGAGGTGAGGCGAGGACACCACACTTCCGGTTTGTTCAAAGACCTGTGGTATAGACAAGATTCTCACAGTGCTTTATGACACTTATCCAGGGTTTTCATGATACTTTATGCTACTTTTAAAAATAACTTTCTAATTATGAAATCATATGTTGTCATCATATAAAACATGGAAGATACACTATTGCACCAAAGAACTGCCTGTGGTCCATTGTGGACAGCAGATCTGAGGCACTGGTATTCTTTTTTTTTTTTCCATTTTCAGTATGTATACTCTAATTTTAAAATTTATTTTAAAATTTTCTTACATTGTTGTTCATTTTCATACAATATTTGATTTCTCCTCTTGGGTATAGTCCCCATAATTCTCCCACCACTGTGGCACCTGTGACCATCACCATAGTCCCTTGTATTCTTCTCTGCCCTGTTTTGACCCCTCTCTCTTCGCTTCCCCTGCTGTATCCCTCAGATCTGTGGTTTGATCCTTTGCTCACTTTCCTTATATTCCACCTATAAGTGAGACCGTCCAATATTTTTCTTTTTCTTCTGACATATTTCACTGAGCATAATCCCTTCCAGCTCCATCCGTGTTGCTGCAAAGGCATGAGTTTATCTTTTTTGATTGCTGAGTAGTATTCCATTGTGTATATCTACCACATCCTCTTGATCCTTTCCTGTTTGGGGGCATTTAGGTTCTTTCCCTATCTTAGTTATTATAAGTAGTGCTGCAGTGGGTATTAGTATTCTTCAGATGATGCTTTTCAAAAGCTAGAGGTGGTGCTCCTTCCCTTGCAGGCGGAATTGCGGGACTAGACCACACTTGGAGTTTGTGACCTCGGCTTTGGGGTCTCTTTATCAGCAAAATGCAGAGTATTGAAAGAGGTTGCATGAACCACATAGGTTTAAGGAGAAACGAGATTTGGGGAAGGATTAGAAGCTCTGAGAAGATGCAGGTAATTAAATCTACTATTTCTTTGGCCAAGTGTGCCCCAACCATTAGACTCTGATGTGCTCAGTATTCTTGGGTGTTTATTATACAGAGGCTAGAAAGAATTTGGAAACTTTTGGCATGTTTAGCCATCTGTCCTTTTTACATTGAGTTTTTTGTTTTGTTTTGTTTTATTTTGATTTTTTTCCTATTGTATTTATGAAGATAGTTTATATCATTGTATCTGCCTTAGGGGTTATAGGTTCAAACCTCTACAAATGTATGTTTTCACACCATGCCCACCACCAAGGTTGATTTATTTATTTATTTATCAGAGATTTATTTATTTATTTTTTAAGATTTATTTATTTATTTATACAAGAACCGGGGTACAGGCCAGATGCGTGGGAGGGTGAAAGGATTCACCAGAAACAGCGGGGAACAGAACAGGCAGACTGACGAAATATACTGCTGAGGGGAGCAGCGGGCATGACAGGAGAGGTCTGCTGCACCATGTGGGACCCTTGCTGGCCGGCCGGGATCTACAGAGGCTGCGGACAGCTTCACAGTGCTGCGCTCAAATGCCTGCGCCACCGGGGGGGCCCAAAGATTTATTTATTTATGCATACAAGAACTGGGGTACAGGCCAGAGTTGTGGGGGTGGTGGTGAGAGGATTCACCAGAGATAGGGTGGGGAACAGAACAAGCAGACTGACTGAAATACACTGCTGAGGGGAGCAGCGGGCAAGACAGGAAAGGTCAGCTGTGCCATGTGGGTAGTCCCGGCAGGTGGGAGATTGAACTCGAGCTGCAGAGGCTGCTTGCTCCACCAGGGAGGCCCCCAAGGTTGATTTATTTTAAATCATTTAAAATTTGTATGTCACCTTCATGGTAGCAAAAGGCAGCCTTATTGGTTGTTTTGGTAAAAATCTGAAAGCCTGTTGCAACTACTGGTCCTTGAGCTTGGTGAGGAGCTTCTGGGGGGCTGTGCAGGGTGGGAGGTTCCTGTTAGTGAGCTTGCTGTTAGGTTTCTTTTGTGCATAAGTGTTCTCTAGAGGAGCCTAGAGTTCTAATGATATGGCTTTTTATAGGAAGAAAATCTGTCTCAATGGATAGAACTTCTTTTTTTATAGACTTCGGACTGGATGAGATCACCCAGGAAACAGCATGAAGGGGTGGGATGGAGAGAGGAATAAAGAAATAAGCGGGGACAACCCAGGAGAATGCGGCATCCCATGATAGAGGTGATAGAAGGAACACTTGGTGATTGTCCTCTCCCCACTCCAGGGAGACATTTTCTACTTGAAACCTGGAGTTGAGGTCTCCTTCAGCACCCTCAGAGAAGACAAAAGGTGGGTGGGGGCGGGGGCAGGTTGGGGTGGAGACAGAAAACAGTGAGCAGCCATGTGAGATTCTGGGAAATGCCTATAGAAAAGAAATCACCCTCTTCTGCTTGGCCTAATGCCAAATTCTCATCTTCCTTGAAGTGGAGGGCTGCTTTTTCATCCTGTGCAACAGTGTTGCTTGTCACCTGTTGCTGCCCTAGACTTAGAAAGTTGTGGCATGTATGCTGTGATTTTTAGCCCTCCCCTGGTCCCATGAGAGGTAAAGAAGCTGCTATTAGCTGTTTTTTATAGATGGGATGCTGGGGTGCAGATACCGACCACTGCGGGGTCACCAGGTTGATAACCCAGAGAGCTGGCACTCAAACCAGGGACTCAGCCCCACCCAGTAGTCTTTCCACAAGATCAGGCAGGGCTCTGGAGTATTCTGTACAGGTCCTCTCTAGAGAAAAGAATAATAAACTGAAACAGTGAAAGCAAGAAACGCCAGTGAGGACCTGTTGTGAATTTCTGCAATAATATGGTAAATATTTGTCTGTCCTGATTTTGAACGCTCCCCTGAGTAGTGTTCTCCTTTGACCTTTAGCTGGATAGTGTCTTACACAGCAGGCGTGTTCAGTACATTTGTTGAAATGGTGACAGTTGGACTTACGGACCCCCATCCTCCACCTATTGCTGTTTCAGTTCCAGCTCCAAACATTTGTTACAGGCACAAGCTGGAGCCTGTGTACCTCCTCTAATGCATTGGTAGATGAAAGGATTTATTAGAAAGCCAAAGTCCACTGCAGATCTGATTTGGCCTTGCTGTAGCGTACGAGGCTTGGTGCGCTGTCAGGTGTCCGAACCATTTTACTGCACCTCAGATCGGATCGACGTCTGCATTTATTGATGCCACCTTTGTTCCAGCAAAGTTGGCATATTCTGGTTATTGACCCCAACTGACTTGCCTGTCAGCAGATGGACAGAAAGTCCCTGAGGGAGGCCAAGTATAGATCTGCAAGCTGGCTGAGGGATGGCAGAGGCCATTTTAGGCTTTGGTTTTGACAAATGAGCTAAGTAGGAATGGAGTGGGAAGAAATGGAGTGAGCAGTGGGGGGCAGTTTCCACACTGGAAAGTTTGTTGCAAGTACAGTTGTGTATCTGGATGTCCTCTGATAATGAGTTGGTGTTTGAGTCTCTAAGATCAAAAGCATCTTCCTCCTGCTGGTAAACCTCCCTCCAAGTCTACATTCCGTGAGACCTGCATGTGAAAGCGGCTGCTTGGCTCCTGAGCACCTGCCTCCAATTCGCCTCAGCCTAGAGGCCAAGCCACCAGAACGGGAAATCAGCCATGATGGAAGTGTCCTTGATTTTGTAACTGGTGTTTGACATTTGTTTGTGTAACTATTAGTTTATTGTAACTTTAGTCCTACTGTCACATTGAATATGGTAGATGTATTAGGCTTTTCCTTACAATTTGGAGGAAACTACTGGGGCTCTCCCTACTCAGGGCACTGTGCAGAGGGGCTCACCATCCAGGGACTTTGGGACCTTTGAATTGTCCTGGTCATGCAGTGACAGCAAGATGCTGGTATTTAATGGTGTCATGGAGACAGTTGTACTACCGTGAGGTGTCCACAGCCAGTGGTGTTCCTGTGATAATACACTCACACTTTAGAAAGAATCTTTTTTTAACCCCCATGAACTCCAAGAAGTCTCCTGGCTTTGTTTCTCTGACTTTCCCCCACTTCTTGAACTCTTACTGGCTTCCAGGTGTATTTGCTGGAGACCGTGGTGCCTGTTGTTATGCCCATGTGAGATGAGCTGACTGCTTCTGTTTGTGTGTCTCTGTGCATCCATTGCTCTGTTCAGATTTAGATTATCTTACTAAGCCATTTAACATAAAACCATTGTGCTTACTGATACACATCAGTTTCACCCTGTCCTGTGGCACTGCCACAACCTCCTTGCACCCACAGGGTAACTGAGGTCCAGGAGTCATCGGTTGAACTAAACTTGGAAGTCTTTTTGGTTAAAAATTTGTGCTGGGTTTCCTCTGTGGCCGTTATTTTCCATGTCTTGTTGTTCCAGGTTGGATTTAGAACATACAGACAGAGATAGCCTCAGAAGGTAGTTTTATTTAAAGCTTAGTTGGACATACTTGAAAATATTAATAGTGTGTGCTTGCGGAGGGAGTTATGGGTAATTTCCTTCCTCCATGTCTTTCTGGATTGGTGTGGCTTTGTATGTCACTCTGAGTCTTAGTTCAGGCTGTTGTAGCAATAGATCACTGACTGGGTGACATAAGCAAAGACATTTGTTTTTCACAGTCATAGAGGCTGGAAGTCCAAAATCAAAGGTGCCAGTCAATTTGTTGTCTCCTGAGGACCCTCTTCCTGGTTTGCAGAGGGGTGCCCTGCCTGTTCTCACCCAGTGGAGAGAGAAGGCTACCTCTCTAGTTTCTTTTTCTTTTTTTTTTTTAATTTTTGTGTAGAAGAACTGCAGTATAGGCCAGAGACAGAGTGGGAATTAGAACTGGTGGTTCTACTGAAACACACTGCTAAGGGGAGCAGTGGGTGAGACAGGAGAGGTCTGCAGCACTGTATGTGGGTTAGCTCCCTAGCCAGGGGTCCAACTCAGGCCTTAGCAGTGATAGCACTGAGACTTAACCCCTAGGCCACCAGGGAGGCCCTCTATCCCATCAAGGGGACTCTACCTTCCTGACCTCAGCTGAATCTAATTACCTCCCAACACCACTCTCCCTCCAAATACCATTACATTAGGGGTTAAGCCTTCAGCCCAGGAATTTGGAGGTGGAGATACATTCATTCAGCCTAAAGCTCCGTGACTAATAAAAAGAACATGAATGTGATACAGGCAGACCTAGCATTGCCCAGTATTAAATCCCAGTATTGCCACTTGGTATCTAAGTGACTTTGGGCACATTACACATCATCTCTAAGTGTCATATCCCCCAGACGGATACTGGGTATTACTGTCAGGCTCACAAGGCGATGGTCTCCTTAGTTGAAGTGGCACATAAAGCTCCTGGTGAGAAGTCAGAAGTACTCCTCTCCTTTCCTCCTCACTCTCTTCACCACCTGAGTGTTCTGGCCTGGTTGGTGCTGAATGAGTAACTGGTGGGTCATTGTCTCCTATGCTTGTCCTTCCAGTGATCTGCAGAATGCTGCTGCTGGGTCCTTTGCCTCTGCGTTCGCTGCGCTGGTGCTCTGCCCCACCGAGCTGGTCAAGTGCCGGCTGCAGACCATGTATGAGATGGAGGCCTCAGGAAAGATAGCCAAAAGCCACAAGTAAGCATCTCTCAGGCACAGACTTTAGGTCTCTGTTGCCTTGAGATAGTATTTTTTAAATTCTGTGTTATACTAAAATTAAGTTACAGATAGATTTATATACTCTGAAATATTGTGTTTCTAGAGTATTTTCCCCTCCCAGACAGAGAATAACTTTTTGAATGGACTGTGATAGTCTGACTTGCCACCCTACCTCAAAGGACACTGTAGGCAGATAGCTAACCCCAGAAGTGGGGAAGCCAGGAGCTTATACCCCTTCTGACTTGAATGTATAAGGCATCATCCGCACTGTATTTGAAGGCACATAGCAGAGAACTTTGGAGCTGTGAGAGATGAGCCTTCACAAGTATCTATTTGGATTCTGAGATGAATGCTTGATGTGCGCACCCAGGTTTCACATGGGTATGCAGGATGATCACCCCAGATCCTGGTGAGAACTTCCTTTACCTGCATTTCTAATCCTTCAAGTGTACTTACAAAGGGCTCAACTTCTGAAAACAATTTATCAAAACCCTCGTAAATATACCTAGTCTTTGGTGATCCACTCACTTTTCAAAGAAGTCTTAAATAGGTTGAGCTACCCTGTGAGGTATATGTGTATATATCATATATGACTCATTTGAATTGAAAAGCAATTTATTATTAACCTCAAAACTTGCTTATTTTAATATCTGCCTACCTGACATTCTCATGGTAGATATTGCTGTGTATAAATCTGCTGGGAAAATCTACGCTATAAACTGACCATTTTCAGAGTTACCAGTGTCCTCCAAGTGAGGATGGGATTTGTAATACAGCTCTATTTCCTGCACCCTTGAGATATATTGCAATCAATTTAAATCTACTAAATATAACTGAGAGGACCAGAAGTTTGTCTTAAAGACTTTTTATTGAAATGAAAACACAGAAATCGTTAAGTGTTCAATTCTATAAATAGTCAAAAAATGAGCATCCCTTTGTAACCAGTACTTAGATTAAGAAATAGAACATTAATAGAAAATTGCCCTCATGTCCCTTGGAAGAAATTTGAGATTTTTAAAGTAAGTGTTTGTTAAGATCCAAAGGACTTAGACAAATGGACACCTTGCACAAAAGTAAATATTGGTTGACTATTTTGGGCATAGCAGTGCCCACACAGGTCACTTAGGGTTAGAACTTGGAGTTGCAGGTGGCTAATTTGCTGGGCTGAATCATGTTATTTTGTTACATTCACATTACCAGTGAGAACATGTAGCCAGGAGGAGCTGGCCAGTGAGTAATGCCTGAGGGAGCCTTCTGAAGTCCTCAGAAGAACGAGCATCATTAGGAGCAGACGACTGTTTTACCTTGGGTCTTGTTCCTTCATTGATCCAAGCCAGATCACCTGCACTCTGAGAATTGAGTGAGGCAAAAGGGCTGGTAGCAAGTCTGGTGTCTGGCACTGTTCTGACAGATAAAGCCTGTCCCATCAGAGCTCACACCATCAGGTAGAGGAATTGTTTTGTATTCAGGCTATTGCAGGGTTCTCATCTGCTAAAGTAGGAATTCTTACGTAACTGTTACTCCTGGAGAACTAAATTCTTGGTACTTCCTGCTGCACAGGGGCTATAGCTCATTTTTAGAATTTCTTTTGTCTTGTCTTCAAGTAACAGGTATTCCCTGATTCATTTCCTTCCACTAACACAAAGCAAAATAAACCCAAAACACAGGAACAAATTCCCTCAAAACACATCACAAAAAAGGCTGATGAGATAGGAATTGGGAGGTAAGGGACTGGGCAAGTGTGATACCATTTTATTCTTGCTGAGTTTGGACAGCTCCTTATGGTAATTGTAATTTCCCTTACTATGAAAAAAATGAGTATTAGCTTTCTGAAAAAAGTATCTTGAATAATATGACTTTTATGCTTGTTATGAAATAATTGTACTTAGGTTTTTAAAGATATTTTCTTCCCACATGAGCCTTTTATTAGAATCCTGTTCTTTTGTTTGTAGAATCAGCTGTTTCCTTGCTAGAGCATAATCAGGTCTGTTAATTGGGTTATAAATATCGTTGTCTCCTTCTTTCCCTGCTTGCTTTATGCAGTAACTGTCTCTCTTACTGTCTCCACCCAGTACAGTTTGGTCTGTCGTGAGGAGTATCCTTAGCAAAGATGGCCCCTTGGGCTTCTACCATGGACTGTCAAGCACTTTACTTCGAGAAGTTCCAGGCTATTTCTTCTTCTTTGGTGGATATGAACTGAGCCGATCATTTTTTGCATCAGGCAGACCAAAAGATGAACTAGGTAAACGTGTCTCCATTGACAGACATTGAGTTTGGTGCAGTCCCTGCCCACTGATGTTGTTGCATTGGACTCTGTGCGCCCCCTTGTGGGGGGGTCCTCCTGGGGAGTCTCTGCTAAGTTGAATTTCCTCATGACGGGGGCTGAAGCAGTGTGTCTTGGACTTCTTCCCCGAAATAACATTTGTTAATTAGCCTTGGATCCATTTTAGGGGAGAAGAAATCTAGAAATTTCTTTCCCTGTGGGAAATAATCTATAAATCATTTTTGTTATAAGCTTAAAATTTGGTAATAAATCTTGATGGTGTTTTGGGAGAAGTGAAGTTTAGTTCTTTCTGGCTTATCCTGTACAGCTGCTTGACACAACCATTATCAATGGCTCACATGAGTGATTACTTAAAGAAAATCTCCTTCAGTGTATTGGGCCTATTTGGGTTAGTCAGGATTCCTGGCTTACCTGTTGTGTTTAATAAAACGACGTTGGTTTTTCATGGCAAAGGAAGAATCAGGGCTGTGGGGCATTAGAATATTAAAATACTTCCAAATGAGAAAGTAGGAAAAAAAATGAAGCCTGTGTTTCGAGGCTTCTTTTTATTTTTTTTAAAGATTTATTTTATTTATGCGTACAAGAACTGGGGTACAGGCCAGCGGTATGGGGGGTGGGTGAGAGGATTCATCAGAGAAAATAGAGAGCAGAACAGGCAGATTGACTGAAATACACTGCTGAGGGAAGCAGCAGGCAAGGCAAGGAAGGTGGGCTGCTCCCTGGCCAGCCGGGGATCAAACTCGTGCTGCAATGGCTGCCAATTGCTTGATAGCGCTGTCTTGAACCACTGCGCCACTAGGGAGGCCCCAGTGGCTTCTATTTCTAAGGGCACTGACATGCTGCTGGGGGCCTGTGGTTCTGTGCCAGCCAGTCCTCTGTGGGATAAGGCAGGAAGGCCACGCATGGTGCCATGGTGACCAGCCTAATACAGCCCTGGTTTGACGAGGGGTTGACCCAGACTCTTAAATGGAAGCTTGTGCCCTTAGAGCTTTGATGGTGTCAGAGAACTGTGCTCTGCAGCATTAGCATTTTTATTTGCACCTACCTGCAGCCACTGCTATACTGGCCTCTGGAAATCTCACATCAACCATTTTGAAATACAATACTGTTTGCCACGTTTCTTCTCTAGGTCCTGTCCCTTTGATGTTAAGTGGTGGAGTTGGTGGAATCTGCCTCTGGCTTGCCGTGTACCCAGTGGATTGTATCAAATCCAGAATTCAAGTTCTTTCCATGTCTGGAAAACAGGCAGGATTTGTTGGAACCTTTATAAGTGTTCTGAGAAGTGAAGGTAAGTTGCAGAAGCAGTAGGCATATGTAGAGAATGATCATTTCATGGCTGGCCTGTCAAGCTTGATCAGATGCCCTCCTCCTGGCCTCATATCCTTTTTCTGGCACCTTATATTAGTTCACATTGGTAGATTTCTGTTTCCAAACCCCTTGGTTTACTTTTATTCTCAAAAATGTTTAAAGTTCTTACCCTAACACTTGGTCTAGGATTTGTTATTCTAAATGGAGGGAACGTGTAAAATATGGACTTTGTCTAAGGGGACATATGTTTTACAGTTGCAAAACTTGCTTTATGTGTTAGAAAATAATCTCTAACAGATTTAAAGGAGAGTTAAAAGAATGTACAACACCCTAAATGTAATCCTTCTGCAGTTAGAAGTGCCCTAAGCAGTCTCTGAAGATGATCTGCTATCAACTTTTAGAGTCATGCAAGAGGATAAAGATTTATGTAGTGTTTATATAAAGCCAGTGGTATGCTACTAGTAAATAAAGACCTGACATAACACTTATTACACATTCTAAAACCAGATGTGAATTTCTCTGCCTTGATTTTAAAAGAAAGAGCATGCAGCAACAGTTTACAAAAACTGTATCTCAAATAGAACACACACATCTATATGTTACTAATAGTAATGCCCCTTTGAATTCAGTTAACTCTTAATGGTTTTGCAAATTACTTACACCTCCCTTATCTAATTTGATGATCATAACTATCCTGAGCATTGTTTATATAGTAGGTCTTCTTAATGTCACTGATAGGTTTTGGAAACCATTTAAACCTTCAACTTTAAATGAAATGACTTAACAAAAACAATTTTACCATAGGCTAATTGATATAAATAAGAGTTAAGCTCCTGTGCCATATTTTGGGTTCCAAAAATATCATTAAACTTCTGAATAAAGACCTCAAACAGGGCCTCCCTGGTGATGCAGTGGTTAAGTGTCAGTGCTATCAAGCTATCACCAGCCACTGTGGCCTGAGTTTGATCCCTGGGCCAGGAAGCTAATCCACATGGTACAGCCAACCACTCCTGTGTCACCCGCTGCTCCCTTCAGCAGTGTATTTCAGTAGATTTGCATATTCTGCTCCCCACTCTATCTCTGGTGAATCCTCTCACACACACACCCCCACTCCTTCTACCCTCCCCCACCTATGGCTGACACCCCCAACTCTTGCATGCATAAATAAATAAAGTAAATCTTTAAAAAAACAAAAACCCCAACCATTTCTAGTATTAAACAGTATTTTGTATTTATTCATCCATTACTCAAATTACTTACTCCAGTTCAGGCTTGTGAGTGGTTGAATCCCTAGCTTAGGACACAAGGCAGGAACCTGTCCTACACAGGACATCCTTCCATTGCAGTGCACATCACACACACCCACTGTCACTCAGCCTGGGGCAGTAGGGACTTGCCAGTGACCCTAACGTGCACACTGTTGTGTGGGGGATGAACTGAAGTAGCCAGAGAACACATGCCAAATGGAACCACACACAGACTCCATACAGACAGTGGCCAAAACTAGGAATCAATGTTTTTCTTGTCAATATTACAATGAAATGACATTATTCCAGGCCCTGTATACTAGAAATAGGCCTCTGACTTCCATGCCTGCACTCCTTCAACTGACCTGATGCCCTGTGGTCCTGGCTGCTCTCTCTCTCCTCTGTGAGGTCTGCGCTGTGCCCCAGTCATTTACCACAGTTGACCAAACCTGGAATTGGTGTTTGTTACCTCTATGTCAACCAGCTTTGCTGGGAGAGTTGGCGCTTTCCTGGTTTCCATTGATCTTTTTTAGATTCATTAGTTCAGGGAAACCTAGACATAAGTCTTCCATGCCTTGTTGGTTTTCAGTATATTGTCTGGATTTGTAAGTATAAACATACCTGTTATGCGGTTTTGGGAGTATCTCCAAGCAAGGAGTAGCTGTAACCACCTTTTTGTCTTCCAGGAATAACGGCCTTATATTCTGGACTGAAACCTACTATGATTCGAGCATTCCCTGCCAATGGGGCGCTGTTTTTGGCCTATGAATACAGCAGAAAGTTGATGATGAACCAGTTCGAAGCATATTGAAGTGTTCTGGAGAACCTGGATCCAAACAGGCATCTGAGGACTATAGTTCATCTCAGGGTCTCACGGAGTAGAAGACCAATGTGGAATTATTTTGATTTCATGGGAATTTTTGTTTTCCTTTCTTCTATCCTAAATCTTAAACTTTATGGAAGGACCTCTATTTTACCTACATAATTTGTGCCCATAATTGTACTGAAATAGAAAAGTTACTGCTCTTGTCCCTGGTGGATGTACAGGCAGAGCCACTGGCCCTTTGTTACCTAATCTGAAAGGCTAATTATAGTTCTGTCAGGGTTTTTGCATAAACCTGGATGTGTGGTTATGTTTGATTGTGTGTGTGTTTGGAGTGAATCACAATTTGGTTCTATATTTAACCTCACATCTCACCAGAAGAACCCCAAGATAACCATGTTTATGGTTTTAAATGATTGCTTAACCCGTTCTAGTTGTGGGTGTCTCTTAAAATCTACTTAGTGCGTGCACTATACTAAGTGGTTATATTTTTTAAAGGTTTTCTTGTGGTGCTTGAAAACTAAAATATCCATCTAGATTTTAAAGACGCAAATATACCTGTATACTGATATGGCTTCCACTTTCTTATATTTTAGAGCAGTCATACTGGATTTCCCAGGATGTTCTACTATTAAAATAGTGCCATTTGTTCTATAGTGGATCATATTCCCCCTCTTGAAATACAGGTGAGTGGCCTTGAGCACCAGGCCTTTGGAAGTAGCACAGCCTTCACCTGTGCCTTTTTCCTTCCAAGAGCTTCCCTTCTTCTGGGCTTTAGGTTGAGGGGAGGGGCTCTGCTGTTTTGCTTTGTGAAGACCCTTGTGGCAGACAATAGCCCTTAGCTTCTGGCCTCGGTAGGAATCCAGAGTATCCTATTGGACTGTGTATGGGCTGTTGTCCCCTTTGGACCATTCACTCATCACCTCCACCAGTGAGAAACCCTCTTAGGGAGCAGAGTGCCAAAGCCAGGAGAAATCCCCGTCTGGCTGGTGTGACAGAGCACTTGGGCAAAGGGCTGTCCTCTCAGAGCTAGGCAGGAATTGGTGCTTGTGCCCCACAGAGAGTGTTATCAGGACTGACTTCTGAAGTTTATCTCGGGACCCATAACTCCTAGCCACGCTCTTAACAATGTAGGAGATTTTACATTTGATATTGGCAGACAATGAATTTTAGTGATGATTGTTATATGGGCTGTGACTTTATAAATCCATGAAACCAAGAAAGCTAATTTTACTAAACTGTGCCTAACAACAACCCCAGTTCATCTGCTCACAGACTTGGAGATGTGCAGCTGTCCTTTGGCCATCTGGTGTGAGAGGGTCCTTCTTGTCACCACGAAAGCCAGCCTCATTTTTCTGTGCTGCTCCAAAACCAGCAAGGATACTCTCAATAAAAAGTGTTCTTAAGCAGCCTGTAAGGTTGACAGCAAGCAGGTTAACAATATTTAACAATAGTCTGGGCGATGCGTTTCTGTATATTCCTGTCGGCGGGATGTAAGCCTTGCATGAAACCCACAGTTCCCTTAGGCTTCTTGTTCTCTGTGAAGACTCGATGGTAACTGGTGTCATATGAAGAAGCAGGAGATTCAGGAGGATGGGATGCTGATGACTGGAGGCTGCTGCAGACATTTCGGGAGGGTTGTTGCTGTCATGCGGAGGGTTGTTGCCATAGCTGGCCTTCCACTTGTTTTTTTCTTAAAGGAAAACCATTTCATTACCTTACATTTCTCTCCATATTTAAATGGCCAGTCGCTACTGAGTGGTGCTTCATCTGAACAGGCCTGGAATGAAGCCACATAGGCAGTAGAACCGGCTTCTTTCTAGCAAGAAGTGAACTGCTTCAGAGCCCATGGTCCCCCTGTTGTGCGCCAGTGAGCTTGTCTAAGTTAGAGCTGCTGGCAGTAAACCTTCTCACATGTTGTCCTTTAGAGACTGAAATATCTTCAGTAGAAACTGTCAGGCAAGTTGTGAGTGGGTGGGAGTCAGGGATGGAAACCTAAGTCAGGAGACTTTCATTCTATTTGCTTAATTCATGGTGCAGTATTTCTCCCACTTTGTACAATTTGTACACTTTGTACAAAGTGGTACAACTTGAACCACTTCAGATATGTACTCTAGACAAAAATATAGTAACTTGAAATATTGCTTAAAGAAATTCTAGAGCTCTATCACCATTAAATTATTTACGTAATATTTGAGTATATGAGTTGTTTTACATACATGCATGCTAAGAATGTTTTGAGTTGTGGTTCTGTTGCAAAGGGCATTGTTTTTTGTTAGCAAGATTCCTGATACAAAACAATTTCACTCTAGGTAAACTGCCTAAAACACACATTCGTTATATAAACTACTCTTAATGAAACTTGACCGCCTAGGATTACTCTCTCCCTCCACCAGGCTGTGGATATGATGTGACTGATTTGGCAAGATGCCATTCTGTTTTTTTAAATAGTTAATAGCAAGAAGTTTAAGTCTTAGATAATTCATTCTAGTTTAGTAATTTAAGAAAACCAGTGTCATCCTATAGAAGTTTCTTGAGTTCAAAGACTTACTCACATTGTGTTAGAAAAAAGCAACAACCCAGGAAACCTAAAAAGTTCTCTTAAATGAGCAAAACAACAGTGTGTCCACTCAAAATGCCAGAAATTTTGATGCATTTTTGAAACTGCAACTGACACCTTATTTCGAAAAGCAAGATTCTTAAAAGTCGGGAGTTTCCTTCCATTCTTCTTGGGAGTACTGAAAATTATCTTACTCTTTACTGAGCCAACTGTTTTTCCCCCATTCACTCAAACCTGCCTCCTGAATTACCTACTGTGGGTTATCACTGCATGAATTTTAAAGGAAACATTACAACCTGTTTTGCCACCATACATGACCTGTGAGCAATAGAAAGTACAGGGAATAGTAGTCACAACATGGAAGTTGAAAAGCGTTAAAACTTAAAGTTGAAAGCTTTTTCCTCTAAGAGAAGTGAAATTAGGGGGAGCAGAATAACTTGTCAGAAAAGCAGAAAGTTTAGCCAGCCTACTGCACTTGTGGCTGGGACAGTTTGTGGGCTCACAAGGTTATGCTCCCTGACAGTGGCCCTGGTAGCTCAGAACTGTGCCCAACTGTGCCACTTTGGTACCTACAACCCTTTTCTAATTAAAATTTTGCTCTAGTTCCCCTTTAAAAATACTGTGGCAACCTCCAGAGCAGCCAAACTGGGCAGTTCTGGGTAAGTGTGTTCATTACAAAGTTGCTTTGTTTGAGTGGTTTAGCCCCAAGCCCTATTTTTCCCCCACAGGTTTTTTTAGTGTGTGCATTTTGCAGAGTGCATGGCTTCTCAGGAAGGAGTATACTGTGTTTTAGCAGAGGCACCATTTTTTTATATTTGCTGTCTTTTCCTGAAGCATTCAACTTGGTCTAGATTGTTGAATCTTGCCAATGAAAGAAAAATCACTCAAATAAGGATAATTTCGATAAAGCTAAAATAAAACTGCTTTCAGGTAAGATACAGTGACAATGAAGTTACTTAGAATAAACTTGTACCTAGTACTAGAGAAACTCCTGATTCCCCTGTGGCCACAGGACTGATCAGTGTTCATTGTGAAAAGGTGACCTTCCTTCTCAGCTTAAGTGAAACTGGTATGGTGGCTTTTAAAATAATAAATCTAGATTTCTCTAGGCAAGTATTTCCTTTGACTTCACTTGTCATGTCACATAAAAGAAATCACTGAAAATTCTTTGTTACGTTTATAAAATGGCTCTTCCCTCCCTGATGTTTGTGTGCTCAACATGCTTTGTGGTGGGAACACAAGATAAAGCATGTGTTAGAGTTGGGGGGTTGCTTTGTAAACATTTTTCTACACTGGCTTTAAAACTTAAATCTTTGCATCCAATCTGATATTTAACAGTTTGTAAATCAAATGGAGAGGAAAATAAAAATAGCCTTTCTAATAAATCTGAAACTACAAATGTGAAAGTAGAGAATATATACTTTCTAAAAAAGGTGTAAGTAAATAAATTCACAGTATTGGGGGGAATCATAGTTTTTAAAATCTCAATTTTGATATAAAAGTTTTCTTTTAGAATTCTAAGAATGATAAGTAGTGTTCCTGTATACTGTGTTCCAAATTAATCTCAGCACAGATGAAAACTCTGAAGGATATTCCTTGAAAGAAAATTCCTAGGACATTTTACCTTGTATGTATTTAACAGATTTCTCAAGAATTTTATGTACACATATAAACATAAGTCTATCAGTAAGGAAATAGGTTTAGAAGAATATAAATAGGTCACAGGGGTTGGGAAGAACATGATTCTACCTAAAAGGGGAACTACACTAAATCAGATACCAGCTATCACTGAACGTCATCAAAGTATATCTCAATTGCAAATTTTGGAGGGTAAATTTTCCATGCTTTTGGTTTATGGAGATTATCCACTTCATTTCTTGAAAGATAAAGCCTAGAACAGAAAAAAATAATTACATTTTATTTTAGGACTAACAGAAAAGCTACATAGTGGGGCACCTTTGTTAAGAGTTTAAAAAAGATTTGCTGGGTCTCCCCTGGTGGCATAGTGGTTGAGCACTGGGCTGCGAAGCTGCCCACAGCCTCTGCAGCGCCAGTTCGATTCCCAGCCACCGGCAAGGGTCCCACATGGTGCACAGACCTTTCCTGCTGCGCCCCTTCCTCACCTGAGCAGTGTATTTCGTCAGTCTGCCTGTTCTGTTCCCTACTCTGGCTCTGATGAATTCTCTCACCCTCCCGTGCTTCTGACTGTACCCAGTGCTTGTATAAATAAATAAATAAATCTTAAAAAAAAAAAAAAAATTGCTGGCCACAGTAGTGCCAGCCCTTTACTGAGTATTAGCTTTCCAAGCTCTTTCCCACCACATCTCATGGATCACATAGTACCGTGAGCTTCAGTAACAAACACAGCAGTAACAGCACGTCATTGATTCTTTTAACATTTCCTTTTAGGGAATTAATGGTATGTGGGTTTAATAAAATACATTTCTATATGTGACAGAAATCAGTGACTAGATGTATATTAAAATTAATAAAATAGTTTTTAAAATGATGTTTATCATTTACAGTTAATTAACATCTTATGACTAATAAAAAGGTTTTACCAAGTAGTATAGAAATTTAAATGTTAAATCTCTAGAAATGAAAAAGTGAGAAAAAGGATCTAACTTGTTGCCTCTCCAATATGAACATGGTGTTTAAAAGAAAAAGACTGTCCTTCAGCAAAACTACTTTTGAGAAAAAGCACCAAACAAAGCTATACCCAGATGTCTATTTCAGGAATTTGTGTTCAGAGCAAACAAAATTGGTAGAAATTTTCCATAAAATCCAAAGTTCATTCTATCAAAATCCACTAAATGTGTATGCATGGTAACTGTGTAGGTCAGATGTTCAATTTACTGTTGCCTTGCTGAACTTAAGATGTGATTAGATGAAGTTCAGATTTAAAGAAAAGAGTAAGACGTAAATAAGAACCATCACTTCATGCCACATACAATTACATCCACTTCTTCAAACTTCACATGAGTTTTAGAATATTTTCCTTTTGTATGGGGTAGTATGGTGATACCAACACGTTCATGTTTTCAGTGCTGCAGAACAAACAGTCCTAAAAGTGGAGTTTTCAGATGTGGTAGAAGGAACTTGGGAATAATCATCTTCAAATGAATACTTAAAAAAAAGTTTCCCAATTTGGTTATTAAAAATCACATTAATGTGAGACTATCAAATTAATGCTTTTTAGCTATCTTCATTGATACTTAATGTGTCATAACTTCTGCCCTAGATATAAATATGTCAGTTTTTAAAGTAGTTCAGCCTCCCTAGATGATGCCTTACCTTGGCATTGAATTTGGTGCTGGTTGTTCATCAGTAAATCAATACAGATACTAAGTAGATTCATATCAAATGCCTATGAAAGGACTTGCTACACACAATATCTGATTAAATACATTTTGACTTATAATGCAATACTGTGCCATGGATGTTGAAGATGATGTAACAGTGGGTCTCAAGAATAGCCATATGAGTGGTAACTCAAGAATTTTTTAGTTTCCATAAATTGAGTTTATATAATCAGCAAAAGACTTGGTATCATGTCTTATACAAACAATGAAGATTAAGTTGTTTCTACTAGATTACATGATAGCCATACCTGTTATCTTCTATAAAAGATGTATGGAACCAGAAGAAAAATGGGCAGTTGTCATAGTATTTAGGAAGATTCTAAAATGACATGTTTAAGAAATGATTATTATTCATAGTAAAACTGACACCAAGAACTAATCATTACAAAGAGATTAAAATTCCTTTATTCAAACAATTACAGATATTAAATATGTATTGAGTCTATACTATTACTCAAGACACAAAGGAGGAAGCCTTAAAAGATTGCTGTGCCTTTCTCTTGCTGTTTCTACGAAAAAATTTTCAAGGAAATGTTTTCCTATGATAAATATTTATAATTTTAGACACTGATCCTTTAATGTGTCTTAGATAGTGCTGAACAGAATCTGCCAAGGACTTTTGCCTATTTAGGCCAAAATGTATCCCATTTCTAAAAGGAGCAACTACATTGGATAACTAACAATCTACTGATGATAGAAATACCTAAAAATTTTCAAAATGCTTTCATCCCATGGCCCTTGAAAGTCCATAGACCAGATATTATCCATATTTCCTGGGCCAGTACCCCTTACACCAGTGCCTCTGCTTGGAGATCACTGATTGAGAATTCAGACTAGTTCCATTATTTAAGGGGCAACCATCCAATAAGGGTACTATGCAGCCACTTCAACACATTTACCATTTTAATACTTAATAGATTTTCCCCCAAGAGGAAGCAAGCAGGGGATGAAGGAGGATATAAATTTTAATTTGGTGCCATATGATCAAGCAATCCCACTCCTTGGTATCTATAATATAAAGTAATACAAAAACACTAATTCAAAGGGAGATGTGTACTCCTATGATAATTGCCACACTATTTACAATAGCCAAGCTAGGGAAACAACCTAAGTAACCAGTGAAAAATAAGTGAATTAAGGAGATTTGCTGTATATGTATATAAAATGGAATAAACTATAAAAAAATTTAAGGGCCTCCCTTAAATTTAAGGGGTAAAGGGCGCAAGGGGTAAAGATGCAACCTATGAAGCAATCCGCAGTCACTGCAGCATGAGTTTGATCCCCAGCTAGGGAGCTACCCACATGGCACAGCAGACCTCTCCTAACTCACCAGCTGCTCCCCTCAGCAGTGTATTTCAGTCAATCTGCCTGTTCTTCTCCCCACTCTGCCTCTGGTGAATCCTCTCACTGCTCCCCCAGAACTCTGGCCTGTACCCCAGTTCTTGTATGCGTAAATAAATAAATCTTTAAAAAAATTTAAAAAGATGAATTCTTGTTATTTGTGACAACATGGATAAAACTGGGTGGGGAGGGGGATCATGCTCAGTAAAATAAGTCAGAAGGAGGACAAATACTGGATGATTTGGACCAGACAAAACTAAACCAAAACAAACCCTAGAAATCTGACTATAGAGTTGCGGCTACCAGATGGGGAGGGTAAGGTGTGGAGAAAAGGGGAGAAAGGCCCAATCAACTATAGTAGAAGACTATGGGTGACTTGGTGGTGGAAGTTGTGTGGTAACATACATCTGAGGAGGTGTGCACCTATATCTAGGAATGATGCAGTGTTAGAAACCAATGTTACCTCAAACAAACAAAAAATTCTGAAGAAAATTTACATTTGGTCAACAAAGGTGTTGGCACTTCTGGCTGATGATTAAGAGGAAAATTGAAAGTATTGATAGTGGAAAATTTGTTGTACGTAGAATAATGTTCAGTCATACATTTCTTGACTGGTCAATATAGATTATATACTCATTGTATTCGGAGTAAAGACAAAGACAGAAATTCTAATTTTTCATAAAGTATACTGACTAAAGTACTATTTTAATGCATTACATATCAGTTCAAAGGAAAGTGAAATCTCCTTCACTTTAAAATCTTTTGTAAATAATGGGAAACAATGTGTTTAGAGATATAAAACAAAAATGTGATCACTGCTATGTAGCAAAGCATACCTTTGTTTTTTAGCATCTTGGCATTCATGTGTTTTATTTGAATATACATGCAGATTATAGAGAATATAGAAAAAATAAATGAGCAAAAAAAACTTAATCACATGTTCTTTTAAAAAATTTGTTACATATACATGACTTGTTTTTCTCCCCCTCGTTGGTTAAGGGTTGATATCTGCTATCATTTTTCTTGTTGGGAACTGTAGCAAAGAAAATTCCAAACCAGAATCACTCAAAAGACCAGATAAGAATAGGTTGTTTCTTGATTACTCACAGAACAGAGAAACTGCACCTTCACATCATCATACAGAGGTGGACAGCTGAGTAGTTTAATGATTACTCTGTCTTTTTTAATGTCATGAAATATCTGTGAATGAACAAATGTAATTCAACACTATAAATCTAGTTAATGAAATAAGTATAATAATGAAATTCATTTTTACTTAGTGAGGTTTCCTATATTTTTCAATGACTCTTGCTGTGATAGCTCAATCATTGCATGTATACATTAATGTTAATCATTATTTTCATAAAGTTGCAATACTGTTTTTTTTTAATTTTTAAAAGGCCAACATATTTAAGGATGAGGCAGTGTTAAAAAAACAGTACTCATTTTTCTTTTAGAATTTAAGTAACCATTACTGTTGACTCTGTCACCTGATTTTCTGTTGAATAGGTTAAGAAGTTCAATTTTAAAGCTAGAATTCACATTCAAAAGGTAATGCAAGGTAATGCAAAGCTGATCATGTGTTATCAAATATGTGTGTTTGCTGATGAGATCATAGGCCTTGTTCAAAGCAGACTGTTGAATGGAGTGACCAAAGAGAGACTGAGTTTCTAGAATAAATGACTTTGAAGCTCTACTATTTCTTTGTTTCTTTATGATTGACACCCACTATGAGAAAGGTCTATGGTAGGCTCTGTGAAAAATATGAAAGAAGGCCAAGACTCAGTTGATGCTACAGGGAGCTATACACATAAGGAACAACAGCAGAATGACATATAATTATCTGTCAAGCTGTATGATGAAGACTCAGTTTTGGTCACTTAGAGGAAGTTGCAAAATGAGAGTGCTTCACGGAGTAGAAAGAAGTTGAGTTGGGCAAGAAAGGATTTGTATAAATGAGAAGGAACATTGAAAAATGAATCTAGTTGAGACAAAGGGCCAGTGGTGAGGGTGAGGGAGGAAAAACTAGCAAAAACAAGCAGAAATCAGAGTGTTGTATTCCAAGGGTCAGGGTAACCTGTCTACTGGAATGGTGTCACAGGTCTAGTGACTGATGGAAATAAGCTGAGGTATGATAGTGCTAGATCTTGAGAGCTCAAGGCCAGGGAAATAAGAATGAAGTTGTTGAAGAATAAGGTGAGGCATTGCCTATGTGACAAAGCAGCCTGATAATTATCACATATCACATTTGTTTATGATTTATAGCTCACAAAGCAACTTCATATATTCATCAAATTTAATCCTTACAATACTTGAAGATGCAATCTTTATTTTATAAATAGGAATATTGAGCCAAACACACGACAGGTTTTGACCATGAGCACATAGTGTTTCTTCTCTACATTCAGCTTTTCACAATGAAAGTAGTATTTGAGGATACATATTATAGGACTCTATATACTACATTGTATAAGGAGGAAAAAAGGAAGGAAACTATTGTAGAAATCTCAGTATGAGTAAATGAAGTCCTGGACTATGGCAATAGGAACAGAACAGAAGATAGAAAGAGAAAGAGTGAAAAGAGATTTCAAATATATAATCAATAGGAATTGGTATCTAACTGTATTTAGAGGCCCAAAGCAGAGAGAATCAAAGGTAACACCAAATTTAAAACCTGGCCCATACAAAAAAAGATCAGAAACAATGAGGATTGATGAGGGTGTGGAGAAAAGGGAATACTCATATACTGTTGGGGGGAATGTAGACTAGTCCAGCTATTCTGGAAAACAGTACGGCGGTTTCTCAAAATATTAAAAGTAGATCTCCATACAATCCAATAATTCCACTCCTAGGTAACTACTCAAGAATATAAAAACACTAACTCAAAGAGCAGATGGCACACTTATGTTCATTGCAGCACTACTTACAATAGCCAAGCTATAGAAACCATCTAAGTGGTTTAAGATGAGTGGATTAAGATGTGATCTATACACCTAATGGAATAGTACTCAGGTATCAAAAAGGATGAACTCAGATAGAACTAAGGGGGTTGTGCTAAGTGGAATAAATCAGAAGGAAAAATACAAATATTGGATGATTTTGCTCATATATGGATATAAAGAAAACAAAGGAACAGGCAAAACTAAACCCAAACAACCTAGCAATCTGACTGTTACCAGAATCAAGGCTACCGGAGGGAAAGATGAGGTGTGAGGAATAAAGGGAAGAGGGACAATGGACTATGGTGGAGGACTATAAGTGCTTTGGTGGTGAGTGCAGTGTGGTAACATATATCTGAAAAGATGTGAAAAGGTCTGAATTATATACAGTATTGTAAGCCAATGTTATTGCAATAAAAAATAATATGATTTAAAAAAATGTTAAAGCCTGATGGAAGAAGGCTGGTGCCATTTGTAGAAACAGAAAAAAACTCGTGATAAATTTGAATAGGCAAATGTATTTGTGTGTTGTATGAAAGAAGGTTAGCACTGTCCTTGACAAAAGTATTTGAATTGTTGGGGCAGAGACGATATTGCAGCTCCTGCACGTACCATACAGTGAGTGCTAATAAATATGTGCAAAGTGAATGGAAGTTTAAAGCAGGGGGATGAATGAATGCAACCAAGAATAGAGTTGTGTGGAGATAAGAACAGAAAACCAAGTATCAGGCCTGAGTGAGTGCCCTCATTTGGGACTGGGGGAGGGAAAAGGAGGGGGGAAAAAAAAGAAGGGAAAGAAATAGGTTTGGAGAGGTAATAGGGGAACTAGAGACAAAAGCCTGACAGATAATTTCAAAAGTTACATTACTTTGACCCATAAAGGAAGCATTGGTATTATTTCAGAAAAAGGTCTATGGTCTTAGGGATTTCTTCAACTTTTAAGAAAACATTGTTCAACTCAATGAAACAAAGAAACAAATAAATCCAAATTTAAAAAATGGACAGAAGAACTGAAAAGACATGTTCCAAAGAAGACACACAGATGGCGGATACCCTGGTGGCGTGGGGGGTTGAGACGCAGTCTATAGGGCTGTTCACAGCCTCTTCAGCATGAGTTTGATCCTCCAGCTGGCCAGGGAGCTACCCACATGGTGCAGCAGACCTCTCCTAGCTTGCCTGCTGCTCCCCTCAGCAGTGTTCTTAGGTTGATCTGCCTGTTCTGTTCCCCACTCTGTCTCTGGTGAGTCCTCTCATCCCCCACACCTCTGGCCTGTGCCCCAGCTCTTGCATGCATAAATAAATTTTAAAAATCTTTGGGGAAAAAAAAGAAGACATACAGATGGTCAACAATTGTATGAAAAAAAAAAACTCAACATCACTAATCATTTGGAAATTAAAACCAAACCACAATGAAATATCACCTCACACCTGTTAGAATGGCTGTTATCAAAAAGACCAGAAACAACATCTGTATTGAGAAGGGAATTCTTGCATTCTGATGGTGGGAATTTAAGTTGGTGTAGCCACTATGAAAAATAGTTGTGAAGCTTCCTCAAAAAAAAAATTTAAAAATTGAACAACTATTTCTGAGTAGATATCCAAAGAAAACAAAACACCTTGAAAAAATATATGTACCCCATGTTCACAGTGCAGGCCCACAGAACATCTGAGTTAAAATCACTTAGATCATTGCTAAATCTAGAGGCTTCTGGGCCCCATTCTAGACTTCCTAAATCATTCTTGTGAAGTACAACCTAGAAATCTGCAGCATTGCAAGTTGCTAGGTCATTTTCATACACACTAAAATTTCAGAATCAGTACCATATAATAAAATGACCAAAAGACTATGGCTAAAAATGACCAGTTACATGAATTTAAAACTCCAACAGATTCCTGGGAAGATGCTCGGCATTTCTGGAAAAGTGAAAGTCAAAGCAACACTCTGAACTGAAAATATATTCTGGAAAACTCTCTGAAGAAACTATTCTGAACAATGAGTTTAACTCAGCTCTAACTTGCCGCCGAACCCAAGGACAACATATTGGATGATGACTGGAAAGCAACACAGCCTCTCATTGTGGTCAATGATGGTTTAGGGAGGTCAAAAACCAGAAAACAAATAGCAGAAATTCCAGTTCACAAGCTTTCTCTTACCCTACAGTTTTTGAAAGCAGAACAGTGAAAGACAATCTTTTGCTGCATTATCACTTGTACTTTTAGATCACTTCCATTGCCTTTTCCAATACCTGAATGAAATGAAAGAGGCTGGTTAGCACAAATATCAAAATATCTCACCAATTAACATTATGGAATAAAAAAAGAAAAAAGCCCAGCTACCAATGTATCAATATGGAATCACATGGGCTTTGCATTGGTTTTGTCTTTGAAAGACAAGGCTTCAAGCCCAATTCTGTCTCCAAAACAGAATTTACAAGGCTGAAGAAAAAAGACAAAGTTCAGTTTCTAAGACTTAGAATCTCACTTCGCCTTTACAGAGGAAGGTGACTTGCAACCTTTCTTACTAATGTGTTACTTTCTTTAGACTTTTAAAGGAATGTCTAAATCCCTCTTGCCCTAGTTTAAGTCCAATTCCTAGGAAATTATTGGATAGGGTTATATCCAAATGTTCCTATGGTGTTCAATGTATATTTACAGACAAATGATTCCATGCTCCTTTTTCAGAGTAAAATGACCCACTTACTTTAGTGTTTCCTCCAAGGGCTGATTTCTCAAGCCTCCAGTTGATTTTTATCGCTTTCCTTTCAGCCTTGCACATTTCACTTAAGTATGCATAGAATTCAAAGTATAGAACTAAAGCAAATATGCTTTTAAAAATGTCCTATATTAATCATTCTTGATTTTTCACCTTATATAATTTCGCTTTGTTTTCACTGACACCATGTTACTGATCAGGAATCATTATTTCTTTGTCTTAGTTGCCTCTGTTTCATTCCAGTTGTAGAACTTTCTACTGATGCCTACCAGTAATGAGTGAAATGTAGAACTAAACTAAGTCAAATACTTATCATGACAAACTTAATCTGTACACATTTACATATACATAAACATTCTTTTACTGTTGAGTCACTGGATAAAATGTTAAAAAATATATGCCAGATCTTATTTTATTTTATTTTTTTTAATAGAGGCATGTTTTATTTATTTATTTGTTTGTTTGTTTTGTTTATACATGCACTGGGTACAGTCAGAAGCACGGGAGGGTGAGAGAATTCACCAGAGCCAGAGCGGGGAGCAGAGCAGGCAGAAGGACCAAAGTACACTGCTGAGGGGAGCAGCGGGCAGCAGGAGAGGTCTGCACGCCATGCGGGACCCTCCTCTGGTGGCCGGGGAGCAGCCGGGGATCGAACCGGCGCTGCAGAGGCTGCGGGCAGCTTTGCAACCCAGCGCTCAACCGCTGCGCCACCGGGGAGGCCTGCCAGATCTTATTTTGTGTGACTCCTCAGAAGTCTAGAAACACTAGGCTGACTGGGGTCCCATATTCAGCACACCTTGTGGTCTACAATCTGGCTCTTGTTTTAGGGACTCGGGAGCATTGCTCCCCTGCTGTACTGGGAGTGAGGCCCCCACCCCTCCAAGCTGAGATGTCCCTTGTTTCACACCTGCTCTGAGGGTGAGATATACAGGGAATTAAGTGGTAGAGAGAAATAGACACATGGGACTTGAAGCCAGTTCAACCCCTCAGAGGCTTTCTTTTCTTTAATTCCCAGAGATAATCTGACCAATTTCCCTGTCTCCCTGGGCAGTGGAGGAACCCAGTCTCTCTCGTTACATTCTTGAAGGACAGCCAGCTCTTTTGATGTTTATAAGGATTTTTGCTCCTGGTAATAATTGGTAGCAGCAGTCTTTTTTTCTGTATTCTTACATGGGGGGACTGACAGACACCCCCACAAATTCCAGCTTTCTTCCATGTTATCAATTTAGGTAGAAAAAGCCTCAGTGTCATCCTCTGGGAGACTTGCTTTGACCCCCAGGGAAGTTAGATGGAGTCCGGCCTCTCTGTGTCCCAATACTGTGATCAGCTCTTTACCTATACTCTCTTCTCTGCTTGCCACCCAAGGACTCTGTAAAGGTGGGCAAGGCCCAAAGCAGGTCTTTGGTCGTTCTTTGTTAAAAAAAAAATTGAGACAACAAAATTCATTTGCAGTTTTGGAGTGAACACATCTTAATGGAATTCCTGGGCTGAGCAGACTATAGGTGGAGGGTGAAAAGGGAGAGAATAAGGAAGATGAGGGAAAAAGAATCTCTAAAAGGAGGTGAGAAAATGATGTAGAGATGCTTCTGCTAAGATGAACCCTGAACAAGAGGTGTGTGTGAGAAAGAAACAGTCTCTATCAGAAGTTTTACTTTGAAAAGTCCACCTTGGGGGTAGACCAGAGCAGTAATAAGGATAGGAGAAAAAGGGAGGGGATGGAACCCCCAAATTAGTGTGGGAAAGGAAAGAGGACATTTAGGAATTGGTAATATGGCCACAGCACTGCTGGACTAATGGGCAACTCAGGGGGGTAGGGGCTTGTCTGTGAGGATACACAAAAAGGCAGCTATCTTCTGGGATTGTCTGTATATATAGATATGAGCAAAACCCCCTAAACAAACAGTAAGGACATTGGTCCTTCTGCCCAATTTTCCAATTACATAGAGCACTTACCACGCATTGCATAAAGACAGAATTTTTTTATCTTGAGTATTTTTCTTGGAGGGAGTGTCATCTTATAGATATTTTTCACATCTGCAAAATATCCAACATATCTATTCTGCAAAACAACAGAAGCCTCAATTGAAATGGAAATGAAAAGTCTATTGTCAGCATTCCTTATTTTTTTTCTTTTTTTTTTTTTATAAGAACCGGGGTACAGGCCAGATGTGCGGGAGGGTGAGAGGATTCACCAGAGACAGACTGACGAAATACACTGCTGAGGGGAGCAGCAGGTGAGACAGGAGAGGTCTGCTTCGCCATGTGGGATTCTCACCAGCCAGCTGGAATCAAAACTGCACTGCAGAGGCTGCGAACAAAATCACAGTGCGGCACTCAACCGCTTGCACCACCAGGGAGGCCCTCCTAATTTTTTTTTAAACACAGAACTTGTTGAGGAAAGTAACTGATTAAGGAAACACTGGGTACCATGATGTAGCTGGGCATGTTTATGTGTGTTGCCTCATGACTGAACATCTACCTTAGAAAATATCTACTGAACTGAAAGGGGTGAGGAAGTACCAAAGGAGCCGGGTGTTGCCGAGAAACTGCAGTGTGTGAAAGGGCAACTGGCCAGAAGGAACGAAACCACTAGGACATCACAGCAAGATGCAACTAACTGCAACTCTGAGAAAGGTGGATCTGAGAGGAGAAACTTAGCTGGGACTGAGTAAAAGGGAGGTTTGTGGTTTGGTGGACAGCAGCCATCTAGACCCGAGAAAACAGTACAGGTGAAAACTCAAAAGGAAGACCTCATAGACCAGTAGTAGGTGGCATGTTCTCTTGTTCACACCAATTAGAACGTCTTCGTTTTGTTTTTGCAAGGAAGCCCTGGAATTCTCTTAACCTATTTCTTCTCTTATAGCAAGCTATTCACAAGGGCTCTCCTTGACTCTTTCTCTAAGAAGTGGAAGGGAAAATTCTGATAATGAGTCCACCAATTTAAAGTTCTCAGACTTTTCCCCACTCAATGGGAAAGGTTAATAAAATTAACTGCCAGGGCCTCCTTGGTGATGCAGGGGTTAAAGTCAGCACTATCAAGATAACGCCAGCCACTGCACATGAGTTTGATGCCCAGCCCGGGAGCTGACCTATATGGTAGACCTCTCCTGTCTGTCTGTGGCTCCCCTCAGCAGTGTATTTCAGTAGATCTGCCTGTTCTGCTCCCTGCTCTGTCTCTGGTGAGTCTTCTCATCCCCCACATCTCTAGCCTATACCCCAGTTCTTATATGTATAAATAAATAAATCTTAAAAAAAATAAAATTATAATTAGTTATTTTCCTGGTCCCTTATTTAGGTTTTCTGAATTCCTGCTATGAATGAGACCATCCGGTATTTTTCTTTTTCTTTCTGTTTTATTTTGCTGAGCATGATCCCTTCCAGCTCCATTCATGTTAAAGTAAAAATCAAAATCAACAAGCAACTATAAAACAGAGACACACTACAGGGGGGGAGGAGGGAGTAGGATCAAAATAAGGGGGTGGAAATTGTATAGGGACTATAATCAAGATGAAAATGCATACAATGTGCAAAAATGAAAAATGTTGTAAAAATGTATAAAATAAAAAAAATTAAAATAACTGTTATGCTTTCCATTGGAAAGGGCCTTTCAAGAGAAAGATTTATATAATTTCTAAACCCAGGGGTGGATGAAATGTCTGTAGAATAGCCCACATGCAGGGTCAAATGTGTTATCTTAGAATTACTACCACACACAGAGGGAACTGCCCTGGGGGTTTGCCAACATAGCTTTCAAACCTGTGACTGAGTCCCTATTTGCCATCCTAGAGACCCTGAGGACATTCAATTGTAGCCCTTGGTGCTCAGGTTCTGGACTAAAGTTAGAAAAAACTACAAAGCTGCAGAAGAAATGGGAAAGAGAAGGAGTTAAGTACAACATCCTCTTGGCTGCTGCCATCAGATTCTCCACCTTCCAGTAAGGACTGTAACCCACCATGGCCTACAAGCCTAGCGTCCATTCTTCCTTCTCTAAAACAATGGGGCTTGAGCTAACATAACTAAGGACTCACTGCAATCTAAGGAGATGCTTATGTGAAGAACTTTGGGATGCAAAGGTGGTGGGATGCGAAAGGGGTAGAGAAGTTACCACTTCAAAGAGCTAGAGAATAATGTAGTTACTTAGTCCCTAAAAGAAATACAAAGGATTACAAGAACTGAAAACCCAAGAGATTATATCAGGGTAGGAAGGCAAAGGGATTCCAGGAAAAAGGGTTCAACTTGAGCAATGGCATGTGGGTATAAAGTGTTGACAGGCTAGGAAGTAGCATACAGTACAAATGTGTGAGAGGGTAAGCCATCTAAATGCACATAATGGCAGAAATCAAAGAAAACAATCAAATCATAGAAGATACCAAGTGGCAAGTTAATATATTTATATTTGTTGTCATTGAAGTGGGGAACTATTAAATATTTTGAGCATGGAAATGGCATGACTAGAGCGAGGCCTCAGTAAATTCTAATTCATGTATTACTTTTAGCCTATGGCCTGTAGCTCATTTCAGTTCATAACAGGAGTGGTAGAAAAATATTGGTGGATAAGGCTGATTCCTTTAGCCCCAAACTAAATATCTAGAGTCAGCCGTTATAGTGTTCTGCTAACAAAGTCAAGGATATCTATTATGCACCTATTACTTACTCAAAGAAAACTTTCATTCATTGTCAACGCACATCTACTTAAGAATTCTCAACCAGTTCTCACTTCAATTTTACGGGAAATATAGAAAGGAAGATATGCATAGGAGGGGAAATAATGGGCCTCAGAGTATGGGAGAGCTGGATTTGAGTTCTTGGTTCAAAAACTTTACCATTTCCCAATCAATAAGTGGGAAGCATAATGGTGCCAATTTTCAGGTTCTTGAGAACATTAAATGAGATAATGTTGAATCTTAACAAGGTTCAACAAAGTCTAGAATGCTGTAAACACTATAAATGCCTGACTTTTGTAATTAACAAATTACAAGGAATAAAAAAGAGAGGTAGGAAACTTATAAACTGAAAGAGCCTTAATGAAATATGTGACCCTTGTTCAGATCCTTGCTTGCATTGAAACTAAATTTTAAAAAGATTTTCAGATACTAATGGAAATTAATTTATTTATTTTTATTGATTGATTAATTTCTTCCCTCAGGTGTAGTCCCTGTAGTTCTCCTACTACCATATGACCCGTGATCCCTCACCACATTCCTTGTGCTCTTCTCTCCCCTGCTGGATGCCTCAGATCTATGGTCAGTTGGCAAGTTTTGTCTTTTCCTGACCCTTTGTTTGGTTTCTCTATTTTCTACCTATAAGTGAAACCATATGATATTTCTCTTTTTCCTTCTGACTTATTTCATTGAGCACAATCCCTTCCAGCTCAGATAATTATGGAAATCCCTTCCAGCTCAGGAACTAGACATTTTATATTCAGATGTAGGGTAAAGGGGTTTTCAGGCTTTTCTGCCCTCCTGCCATTGAGAGTGCCCTGCCTGATGGGGCATCTGCTTTTTGTTACATTGCTGTAAGTTATGTTGTTTACTTCTGTGGGCCACTATAAGCAGTACTGAGATATTGGCCAAGAGAAGCAGCAGCAGGAGAGAGGCAGGAGAGAGAGAAGGGAGAAAGAAGCCCAGAGTGAAGACTTGCAGGGGGGCTTGGAGGCCTTCTGGCCTCCTGGCCCCCCAGGACCCAGGACCCCTGCCTGCCATATACCTGGTTGCTGCACCACTTGTAAAAGCTCAATAAAAGCCTGAGAAAGCCACCGAGGGCTCCAGGACTCTCCTTTACTCTCCGGTCTGCTTGGATCATAGAAAACCTGCTCTGTGGCCATCCTGCCACTACATAAGGTATTATGAAAATATAATATTTTTATATGATAAATTGTTTTAAAAGAGTCTTTATGTTAGGTGTCATACTAAAATCCTTGTAGGAAAAAGTATTTATGTCTGGAGTTTTCATCAAAATAATCCAGGTGTAGGGAAGGGGGGGGGACAGATGAAATGTAGTCAGGTACATGATGAAATTCAGTGTGATGATGACTAGAAGAGAATTTATTGTGTAATTATCTTGACTTTTCAAGTTTGAAATTTACCATACTAAAAGGAAAAAAAATTTAAAGGAAAAAATTAAGGTAATGGCATAAATCTCACACAGGTCATATGAATATTAAATGAGATAATAAATGTAAAAGTACAAAAGAGTTTTCAAAATACAGCTTCTCGTCCCTGACCCCCTCTATCCCCCTGCCTCTTCCACCCCATCTTTGATGTTCTGCAAGGGTTGAATTGCCCTAGTAGAGGTTTGTGAAAGACTCCATCCTCTTTGCAGGGAAATAAAAATAAAACATTGGTGACTTTAGCTAATCTTCATAGGGTTAGAACCTTAGGAAATGGATGTTCCTACTTTCAGAAGGGACCAACTCCTACACTGTATAGCCATAACTTATCTAAAATGGAAGCCAGGATGGGGAGGACTCAGGTTGCCTGGGGTGTGCTCACAGCTCTGGGAGGGACCAGTGCTTGTCACAGGGTACCCCAGTGCTGCTGCCTGATCACCAAAGGACAAGAGTCTAAAATTCACACAAATGACAAGCACCAATCTTAACCCAATTCCCCACAGAATCCCCCTTCTTAAAAGAAAATTTACCTGAGAAGGAGTTTCTACTCCCTGAAATTTAGCGCTGCTGGATTTATCTGTTCGTCGTTCTCCAAAATAAAAAAGGCTGTCCTACAGAAAAGGGGACAATCCAGTGATGTTTCACCTGCACCTTATAGTTCCTAAGAGAACATTATTTCTTAAGTCAGTGGTCTCTGTCAGAGGCTACTCAAAATTAACAAAGCCACATCATAGATTGATAAAGACATGGAATTTTAGTGTTGGAAAGACCTTAAATATCATCTGGTCCTTCTTACTATCTTTCCATTTGACAATGAAGAAGATCGAGACCAAAAGAAAATGAAATGACCTGTCAGGGACATATATGTAGCAAGTTAAAGATAGCACCTGCCTGGAGGACAGGTCTCTGGCTCAGTCTTGGGCTCTGGATCAGTCTTTTTCAGACCTTTTATTTTTAAAGCTGCAATCCACATTAATAACACTCATACTCTCACTAAACTGAAACAAAAGTTTCACAAAACAATATTTAACTTTTGACATTTTCTAATCTATTTTATTTTAAAAGATACATAATACAGCCCAAGCTTTTATTTATTTTAAAAGATAGTCATAATCAGTTGATTTTACAACTAACTGATAGATTATGATGTATACTTTGAAAAAGTACTGTCTTAGAACATGCATGTTTATATCTGTGTGTCTCAAGTTGGGGAAATAAAAGATGGTGGAATCAGAGTGCTGGCTTGGGCACAGGCCTCAGCTTCTGATCTGGGCTGCAGGTCCAGGGAGCACAGAGCTGCTGGGAGTGTGTCCTTCAGTGGCAACTTCTTAGTGCTATCAGGATAGAAAAAGATTGAGAACCCTGCTTTAAGAAATAGAAACAGTCTACTCTGTCTTCTCAGAAGTTTCCAGAGGGCACAGGCCCCACATCTATTGACTATGCAAAGACAATAACCTTCAGGAGAGACTTTGTTCTGAGTTAGAAAACTGTGCCTTTTATCTATCTAGCATTTCTAAGGATGTCCCACGGTCCTTTGGAGAACTTACTTCATTAATCTTGATAATATTCTTGTGAGGAAGGTGGGAGCTCCAGAATTGGTGGGAGGAAGAGCAGGGCAGGGATTAGTCAGGTCAGTGACACACGCTGATGGCTGAGATTTTTTGTATTTGCATCACTCAACCTTACTCACCTCACTTTAATCCTGCCCCTTTGAGGTCTTTATTTAAAGTATTGATATTGTATATAAATTGTGGATTTTTCTTCATTAATTTAGATTTTAAAATATTGTATTAGAATAGTATTTCTCTTTGTTATTCAGGTTTTTGGCATTTCCTGCCATAGTGAGTGTCTCACTAACCTCACCTCTATCCTGGACAAGAGTAAGAAGTACCTAAGTCACTTGCTAACTAGTGTGCATGTTAAACAAGGCTTACTAATAACCACCTCTTTAATTTTATTAAGTACTGTGACACAAAGAATTATTTCAGTCTACAGCCATACTACCACAGACAGCCTGACAGCTGATGAAGTTTCAGCTATTAAAGAAGACTCAGAGTCTCAATGAACTTGCAGCAGGAGGCTGCTGGGGAGAGAGCCATCAAGAGCATCTCTGCCTTTCACTTTCCCAGCCCAAGCTTTTATTAAAGATAAGAACAAAGGAACAAGAAAATAGCATGCAATTATGCTTATGCTTATACAAATGAGTAAGTTACTGCTGGAACAAGTTTTTTTAATTAGTAGGGAACATGCACACAAGCCAGTATGTCCTCAGAGAACAGGAGTCAATTTTGGGAAGAAGTTTTGTTTGCAGAACTCATATGAAGAGTAAACAGGTACTCTCAGAAAACTCTCGCTCCCTTTAGGGTAGCAGGCTTCCAACACCATACCACCCTGAACATGCCCAATTTCACCAAAGAATCATTTTACTATCTTATCAATGAGACTTCAGAACTTGCAAATGAACATAAGACTGAGTTTACAATAAAATTTCATACCTGTGCAGTGACAAATATTCCACTAGTAATAAGGCAGACACAAACCATGGTTCCAGTCCTTCCTAGGAAAGAAAAGAAGTTAGTTCATGAACCCTTGTCTATGGTAGTACTTGGTATAACACTAATCTCAGAAATATTCAGAGTTCATTTTGGATTGAATTTCTATCACTCTGATAGTGCTTGTTCAAAATGTCTCAATTCACAAATAGCCAAAATTATTTCACAGCTCTGAGGTTCTACCTGGAATTCTGTGTACTAACTGTGTGCACATATACTTACATGCATGTATACAGTTCTTGAATAAATGATGCTGCAGATTGCAGTACCAGGCAGAGGCATCAGCTCTGCTCTAGGACTCGAAAGCTGAAGAACTACTTACCAATTAAGAACTAATCACACATCCTGTTTTTCTAAGTAACATTAAAAATGCCAATAAAAGACAACACAACCCCAAATACCATCTAGCATTTGCAATACCCATTATTTCTTCCATTTTAGGTAAAGTTTTTCCATGTGTTAGAAAACACACATGGAAGTAAAGAGAGTAGTATAATGACGCCCATATACCTGTTGCCCAGATTCTATTATTATCAGTATTTTGCTGATATTTGTTTGTATTTATTTGTGTGATATTTATTTGTTTCTCCGTTTTTCTTCCCTCTTTCTCCTTCCATTCTTTTCTCTGTTTCTTTTGTAATGTTTTAAAGCAAATCCTTGAGCTCATGTCATTTTATTCTTTTTTTTTTTGAAAGATTTACTTATTTATGCATACAAGAACTGGGGTACAGGCCAGTGGTATGGGTGGGTGGGTGAGAGGATTCACCAGAGAAAGTAGAGAGCAGAACAGGCAGATCAACTGAAGTACACTGCTGAGGGGAGCAGAGGGCGAGGCAGGAGAGGTCTACTGTGCCATGTGGGTAGCTCTCTGGCTGGCCGGGATCGAACTTCATGCTGCAGAGGCTGAGGATAGCTTCACAGTGCTGTGCTTCACCCCTTGAACCACCGGGGAGGCCCCTCATTTTATTCTTAAAATCTCTCTTATGGGGTCTCCCCAGTGGTGCAGCAGTTGAGCGCTGGGTTGCAAAGCTACCGGCAGCCTCTGCAGCACCAGTTCAATACCCGGCTGCTGGGCAAGGGTCCCACAAGGCGCGCAGACCTCTCCTGCCGCCCGCTGCTCCCCTCAGCAGTGTACTTCGGTCCTTCTGCCTGCTCTGCTCCCCGCTCTGGCTCTGGTGAATTCTCTCACTTTCCTGTGCTTCTGACTGTACCCAGTGCTTGTATAAATAAATAAATAGATTTTAAAAAAAAAAAAACTCTCTTACGTTTTATTCAATTTATATTTTTGTCCTACAAAGTGATGTTTGAGTTTAAAAAATGTTCTATTTCTACAATGGCCTTTGTCTTAGCCAGTACATGTTGAATTTATTTTATGTAATTCCAAACCTACCCATTTTGACTTATGATGCACTCTATTTTGTAGTCTATCCTTTTTTTTTAAATGAATTATTAAACTTATTTTATAACCTACAGTTTGAAAAGCACTATTAGAAATCAAGTACTACCAAAGGGGACTTTGTACAACCTGTGCTTTGATAACTATAAGCTTCTTGTTAAAAGAGACTACCAACCATTAACCTAGCTCTTGGCTATATAGACTGTTAACATTTCAATTCTGGAGGACTTCTCAATAATTGATAATTTTCCCATTTGGAAGAAACTTTTGCAGATTCATGTTGTTATGGCTGTAGATAAAAATACAACCAAAGACTAAGCAGATGCCTTCTCAACTGATCAAGTCAGATATAATCATTAAAAAGACAAAAGCTTGCCTTTCAGTATTTTAACATTAAACATAAATATACATCTGTAACAGGGTGGTCCCCAGGAAAGGGGGAGGTTTCATGTTCCCTGCCCCACCCAAGGGAGGGTGGAGCTAAGCAGGAAGAGGAGAAGCTGCAGAAGAGACTGAGGAAGGAAGCAGGATGGAGCAAGGAGACCTGGAGGAGGCGCATGGAGCCTAGAGACACGTAAAGAAACTGCGCTCGTCTTTTGGTCGTGGACTGGGTGACACAGATGTGGGTGAGACCCGTGGGGAGGTGACAATGGCAGCTTTTATCTTGATGTTGATTTTGCTCTTTTCCTTCCAGGCTTGTCCGGTTGTTTGTGACCCTTTTCTGTGGGTCCCCACTGGAAGATGCTTTAGACTTGTGGCAGGCTTTGGGGCCTTGTTCTGGGCCAGTCCCATATGGATGGACTTTTACCCACGAGGGGATGGGTAACTTTGGGTGCTTCATTTAGAAACTAGACTTTTTGCCTTACCTGTGTTGTTTCCTAGTTTAATTAAAGTTCCTTCCCATTAAAGTCTCATATGTTTTGTGTTGATGCGGCGGATGGCAGAACCCATTTAGAATAGGCAGGTTTGCGGGGTTTTGGGCTGCCCCTCTCCCTGTCCTATAACAGATTTGGCGACCACGAAGATTTAGGACAGTCATCCGTGGTTAGTCAGCCCCATGGGGAAATTGGGCTTCCCTATGGCACTGGCTACCATAAGCGCAAATGTGATTTTTGGTTTCTCCGGTGTGTTTGTTTCATATGTCGATTTGCTGTTGAAAAACTGGCTTGGGCTTTGTGAAGATCTGTGTGTCTGTATGTAATTTGTTTGTAGTGACTTGCTAAGACATTTGATTTTGTGGAAATTGTTCTGTGCCAGTTTTACTCAAAAGATTAGTCAGTACGTTGGACCATGTGGCCAGATCAAAGATGGCGTCTGAGGCCACTTGGTGTGCTCTTGTAAAATTCAGAGGTTCTTGTTGCTAGGACTTTGGAACTTTTTTTTTCTTTCTTTTTGTAATCTCTGCTGTCTCATTAGCATTTCTAAAGGCAATAATGGTTCTTCAGTGGTATGTTGCTTTGTCTTTGGCTACTTCCTGCTCTCTGCCTGAAGCATTTTGCCAGCCAATTGTGGAGCAGTGGTGTTTAAATTAGCAAATGTATGCCTGGGTGTAATTTCTGGTATTGGACAAGGGGATCACCTGATTTTTAATATATATTTTTTTAACTGAGGAACCATTGTTTTACACCATTGTTAGTATTTTGGAAGTATGGGATCTCCCCTTCAAGCGTGGTCACCATAGTGCACCCACCACCAAAGCACTCAAGTCCTCCACGGTACTCCATTATGCTCTCCTCCCAACCTGTTCTTGCTTCTCTCCTTCCTTCTCCTCCGCTTCTCACCCACCTCTGGGTGCCTCAGTTTTATAGTCAGCTTTTAAGGGTTGATTTTTAAAGACTGTCTTTGACCCATTGTGTCTCTGTATTCCACATATAATTGACACCATCAGGTATTTATCTTTGTCCTTCTGGTTTATTTTGCTTTGCATAATCCTCCCCCTCCCATCCATGTTTCCATATAAATGACATGAGTTTATCTCTTTTGATTGTTGACTAGTATTTCTGTTGTGTCTATATACCACATCTTGATCCACTCATCTGTTCTTGGCTATTATAATTAGGGCTTTAGAATTATTGTTTAGAATTGCTGTTTTTGTATTATTGGGTAGATATCTAGGAGTAGAATTGTTGAGTCCTTTTTTTTAACGTTTTATTTTATTATTTTTTTTAATTTTAGATTTATTTATTTATTTATACAAGTACTGGGTACAGTCAGAAGCACGGGAGGGTGAGAGAATTCACCAGAGCCAGAGCGGGGAGCAGAGCAGGCAGAAGGACCGAAGTACACTGCTGAGGGGAGCAGCGGGCGGCAGGGGAGGTCTGCGCTCCTTGTGGGACCCTCCTCTGGTGGCCGGGGAGCAGCCGGGGATCGAACTGACACTGCAGAGGCTGCGGGCAGCTTCGCAACCCAGCGCTCAACCGCTGCGCCACCGGGGAGGCCCCAGATCCACTTTTAATCTTTTGAGAAACCTCCATCTTGCTTTCTATAAACCTTGCTTTCAAAACCTTGCTTTCTATATAGGCTGGACCAGTTAACATTCCCATCAACGGATTATGAGGGTTACTTTTTCTCCACAGCCTCACCAGCACTTGTTCTTTCTGGTCTTACTGATATGGACCTCCCTGATAATCTCATCATGGTCTTGATTTCCATATCCCTGATGATAAGTGATAATGATCACTTTTCCATGTGCCCTTTGGCCATCTGTATGTCTTCTTTAGAGAGATTTTGTAGCTCTTCTATCCATTTTTTGATTGGGTTGTTTTCTTTTTGTTGAGTTGTGTGAGTTCTTTGTAGATCTTTGATGTCATTCCCTTTTATATGGTGTGCAAATATTTTCTCTCATTCAGTATGTTGTTTGTTCATTTTGGTTACAGTTTCTTTTTTTGTGCAGAAGCTTTTTACCTTGATGTAGTCTCAATTGTTTATATTCTCTTTTGTTTTCCTTTTTGTTGGGGCAAATCCACAAAGGCATCACTGAAGCTTATATTGTGAAGTATTTTGCTTATGTTTTCTTCTATGTATTTTATGGTTTCACAGCATACATCCAAATCTTTTATCCATTTTGAATTGATTTTTGTGTATGATATGAGATGGTTTTAACTCTTTAAATCCCCCTAATTGGGCTTCTTTCTGGGAAAGGCCACATCCATGGCACAAATCATTGCATCATATATAATCTCTAGTCTCAGATTCCTTAGAGCACTTTAGGTGTACAATCCTTCCAGGTGTTATTATTGGAATTTTTCTCCCAATCTTTTACATTAGTCTTACTTGCATTTAATTCAGCTGCAATTTTAATTGTAGTCATTCAGTTTCACTGAATCTTCTTGAAACATTCAACTCAGGTTTCATAAAATTTTAACATTTCTTGTTCATTCTGACATTTCACAGTCATATATTATTTGGTTATTTAGCACCATATAACAAGTAGAAAGAAAAACAATAGTTGAAGTAAAACACATAGTCATACTCAGCTTATTAGTCAGTTTCCAACATGCAAATGGACACCAGTGTGTTTATAGAGGAAATGGAGACTATCACATAACCCTTGAAGTTGGTTGGAATGGAGAAGAGCATTTGTCATCCTGAAGTTAACAGAAATATTGT